TAAAATCAAGTATTTTCTTTAACTTTTCAGTGTAAGTAAATTATACTTTTTAGGATTTTAGTAAAGAACAAATTTAAAGATACCCAAGCTTTGGAGTTTTGATGACTCAATTGACAAGATATTTTGAACGCTTGGTCCATTTGGGTAATATTTGTTTGGGTCACCTCTGACACAAAATTGCGTTATATATTTCCATTAATCCACATCAAGCTTGAGCATTACTTTTCGAAAACGGTTAGCAGTTCATAGTTTCTTAACATTTTACAATGGTTTCGAACCCTTTTAGGGTTTTATTTTCAATGAGGTACCATTTCTCTTTAGTTACTCTTTCGTTTCAAAGAGGTACATTTCGAAATTTTTCATTCAGTATTTGCGAACACTGCTTTTTAAGCTCTCCCCAGTAACGAGAAGAAATTTTAAGGTGCTTACAGTCCCCTAACATAGGCCTCGGCTCTCGGGGTCGGGGTACTTCTTGCAAGCTTCTGAGGGTCAAGAAGACGTGCAAGTCCACAATGTGTTTATTGCGTTTTAGAATAATTGGTAAATTAACGGTTAATAGTTATTAATTAGTCCCAACCACTTACAAAATTCAAAGGAATTAGTACTAAGTGCTCCCTGGTATCTTTTACCAAAAGTTAATTCGTATTTCACTTCATTTTCGTTTTTTTTTAATTTATCAGTTGTTGCATGAATGTTGAGATTCAGTAAGAAACTCGTACATATTGATATGTAGGCAGCAGGAGAGCATGCACCAGAGAAAGTGTAATGTAATGTTAACTAAAGTTATCGCAAATATGTTATCGTAAAAATGCGAGGGGCTTCCTTTCACCAACGTCAGATGTCAGAAATAATCATTCAAATTAATAGATTAATATTAATATATCTATGTTCAAATTAAACCGCTGTAAAATTGAGCCCTGGCCCTAATGAATTAATTTTGATTTCCCCCTTTAGTTGTTGGCGTTTAGTTTCCCAATTATTGTTCTTTTCGGGCGTATTAAGCGGTTGGTGGGCATTCTGAAATTTGAATGCCATTTAATGTTAATACCTCTGAATATTGTATTTTATAATCAAAGGTTAATACTACCAGTTTTACAAATAAGCACAAACAATTATCTTATTAATGGCACAGATTACCTACAGATCAGCTTAAGAGTGATCTACCCAATACTACATACCTATACCTACACATTCCATTTAGACTCTGTATATAAAAAATCAAACAATGAAACAAACATATTTAGTTTTCAAAATGCAAATATAATAATAAATGGAAGTAATACATCATATGCGCGTGTAGAACTGAAGAAGAGCTAACTTAAACAATAAAGCGAAAATATGCACAAAAAATAAGCGATTTTAAAGAGAAAGCTACTATAAATGAGAATAATTATAAACAAAAACAGATCATACAACTATAGAAGAGGACAATTGAAACTAAAGACCTTTAAAAGCTTTCAAGAAATGGAAGACATTATAATCTGTTAGTCAATGATTAAAGTCGGCAGCTGTCAATAAATTCTTTATGATGTCATTTGCTTGATCTTGTTGTCCCAGCATGTTACGGCTTCGTAACACATAAGACATTTGTCATGCTTATCAACAAACGCACATTCTTTAAGGAGTTTGGCACATTTGGACTCGTCCATCTTTGGATATTTAATTAGACAAAGCCCAATCAATGGGGCCTCATTAACTTTTCCATCAGGACCTACTGCTCCAACCTTTTCCATCATACATTTATCGAAGCACTTCATCACGGAATACTCTGGCCTTTTACCAGTACTTGCAATTTCTTTCACGGCGTCTTTAGAAAGGCCCTCTTGTTCGGCACAGCTCATGAGGTTGCGGGCCATCTGCTCCTCCTACGGTTGTTTGATTAAAAGAAATTATTGTATGATTCGAAATTTACTCACATCATCTTTTGCAGAGGTTTGAAGGGAGACGCCAAGTAGTAGCACGAAAGCGATGCAGTATTTCATTTTGTAGAATTGAATGTCTCTAACAGACTTTCGGCCTCCTTTTTATATGATCGCTACAGAAGTAGAGGTACTTACAAAATCAAACTGTAATGTTTTTTTGGAACTAGCAGACCAAAAAGTAAACACAATTTATTAATATTTTTTATTTGAATATCATCTGGTGACTATGTAAAATCATTTCAACGAATGTGACGGAGCAAAAAATGACAATGGCATTGAGATGGACAATAAGAATGCTTCTAATATTTAGAAAACCTTGATTCTCTAGATTACTTAATCTGTATTTAAATTAAGTTCAATCGGTACAATAAACGTAGGTAGGTAATTATAAAAAACCACGTTTCAGTTCTAGAAGTGATGTTTAACCTGGTAACTCTAATGACAATTCAAACAAATTTACTACAGCGTAGAAATAGAGAATCAAACAGAACTTTCATACCGAAATTCTCGTGAACAGATTGGGCACTGTACGAGGAGATGCTACTGCTCAATAATGCCCTTCTCTCTTCCTTTGAGGAAAGATGATAGAAACACTCCCTGGTAGAATAATGAGCTAGGAAAGCTCAGGAAAACCACCAGAAGAGTCTTTAATAAAGCCTCACATCACCATGGCGATCAACAATGTTACTACGGCCTTAATGAGCTGAAGCCTTATGGGGAGAAAACGGGGACTAAATCCCCGCCTCTCCTATTTTGACCTATCTTGAAGTGTCCAAAGCGGAAGTAAAATCAGCCCAGACTCAACCAAACAGGCTGCAACAAATAACCTGTTCTAGGACCTATTACTGGAGCATTAGTACTACACCTACATCTGCCATGGAGGTCTTGCTGGACTTCCTCCCTCTTCACTTACCGGTAAAGAAGGAAGCAGAGAGGGGACCAAGATAAAAAGGTCTCCTGAAAGACGCCTAATCTTATGCAACCAAAATAACTTCTTGAAACAAATAAAGTTCACAGAAAATAAATCTCTTAAGCTCCTTTAACTGTTATCGGCACTATACCAATTGTAAATATCAACTTTTTCTTTAGTCGAATACATCGCACACGAACCGAAATTAGAATAGGGAAGTCAAAGCAATAATATTAAAATTAATATGACAGGCAAATCCTTATTTTTTGTTGTAGGTAGTTACTTTGGTTGCATAAAATTAGGCGTCTTTCTGGAGACTTTTTATCACGTAAAAGTAAACATACGAAATTATCCCTATGTCTACTTCTACATGAATATCACTGTATATGTTTGGATAAGTGGCAGGATAAGTAAAATCAAACAATGTTTTAGCTATCAAAGTACAAATTTCTTTGGTTCAATGGATCATACTAGAAAGATTCAAAAAATAGTAGAAATTTCAACAAGAGGTTCTAAGGAATCTACAAACATTTCTTCCTTTACTGCAACTGCACCCTCTAAATTCTCATTGGCATTCTTATCACAGTCTGGGTCGCTTGGCATATTTTCGGCGCAGTCCTCAACTCCAACAGACAGCGATTTGGGCTGCGCATAAATCACTTGATCCTCCTTTTGGAAATTGTGTGAAACCGGATCTGATCTGTCAACCTCTAACGAATCCGGATCCATGGTCGAAGGTTTGGAATCGATGCCTCGTCTAAAAAGAAAAATGAGAAGTTTTAGTAGTTGGTGACGAGTTCTTACGGTCGAGCCTCCGGGATTAAAATTGGCCCAAAGAATCTTGTCGCAATTATCGGGGTTTCTGAAGTTTTTGCAGGTGTTGGCAAATGCAAAGAACGATGAGATCTAGGAATGTCGTAATCGGGTTCTGATAGCCGCCTATATCTTATTGGCATCACTTTCAACCACTAAAAACACCTTTCTGTATTAATATAACCATTAGAGACCAATACCTCTTCATCTGTTAGCGTAGGAGTTACCAAACTGCTGGTAACGCCAGGTTTTAACACTGGCGCACAGGTAACCTTACAGAGTTTTTCTAGGAGTTCATTAAGCCCCTCTGAATGTCGGCTGCAACTATCGGTTCCGATGATAAAGTGCAGCTGTTTGGATTTTGGACGCATTTTAACATCATCTTCATTTTGGACTTCGAATTTTTCTATTAACTCCTTTACTTTCTGCTTTGATTCTGAAGCTTCCTTTTCTTTATCTAAATCCTCGAGAATTTCGTCTATTGATTTAATTTCGTTATTGTTTAAGCTGTCAGAGGGTGAAAGTGTAGTGCTCGATGGCGATAATTGTTTTGGTGGTATGCTTGGTTTAACTTCCTCATTTTTTCTATCTGAAACAACTTAATGAACGAGAGGAAAAAAGTATTGATTTCGATAAGTCCGTTTGGGACTTTCTGTCGAACTGCTTTTTCTAGGGACACGGTCAACTCGCCACCGGACCACTCGCCACCGACTGACTAGCCAATGGGACAACTCGCCAACGCGACAACTCGCCAACGCGACAACTCGCTAACGGGACAACTCGCCACCGCGACAACTCGCCAATGCGACAACTCGCCAACGGACGACTCGCCACTGCGACAACTCGCCAACGAAATATTTTTCCCTGTTTAATGTGTCATACAAATGCATCCCACAAATGCAATAGTCAATTTCCCTAATTTTGTAAAAAAAGTTTATCGAAAAATTGTAGTCAATATTTGAATGAAGACCCAACCGCCTATACCTGTTTCTATTACTGCATTTTGATATAACGACATCTTCTGCAAATTATTATTTGAACAAAAAATTTGACAATCACATCGTTATTTGAACGACACATTAAACAGGGAAAAATATTTCGTTGGCGAGTTGTCGCGGTGGCGAATTGTCCCCTTGGCGAGTTGTCGCGTTGGCGAGTTGTCCCGTTGGCGAGTTGTCGCGTTGGCGAGTTGTCCCGTTGGCGAGTCAGCCGGTGGCGAGTGGTCCGATGGCGAGTCGCCCTTGGCGAGTTGACGCGTACCGTTTTTCTATTACACGTTAAACGTCGACATAGTAGGTTGGACAGTATTCCCAAACTAACAGTTTACTACTAACCTTCCCAGTTTTCGACACATTCCAATTTATCTACATTAGGGAGAGAGTTTCTTGTTGCACGTTGACTGTTCGACTTCAACCTTTCCTACAATCAAAAATCCAGCTAAAAAACGATGGCAGCCTATACGCACAAACCTGTAAGATACACTTGCGCGACTCCAAAATATCCTGTAACTCCTGCAGCATCTGCAAATCATTTTTGTTTTGCTGTATCTGTTTCTCTATCACCTCATAATCGATCGCCTCATACGCTACGTCTTCTTGAGCATCAATTGACTTCGCCTTCCTTTTCCAAACCCGCTTCAAGAAACTCGCCGTCCTACTTTTCGGTTTCTTTTTCAATTCCTCATCTAACTTTTTATCATACTTTCGTAAGTGACGGAAGAGAAACTTACTTTTTTTTCTTTTGTTTGTGTCTTCATTTGAGGAAGCTTGACTAAATGCGTCTTCAGAGTGTTTGCGAAGGTGCGGACGTGGAGGTAGTGAAGGTTCAACCTTCAAATTTTCAGGATCCTCATACAATGCCTCCTTTGGGTTGTCGATAGCGCAGTATAAAAACTCATTGTCCGTAATCACATATTGATCGTTGCTAACTTCGTGCTCTGTGTCTTTGAATTTATCAACCGTCGAGTAACCATCCTCCAAGGACTGCCTTGAGCATCTGTCGTACATATGATCTACATTGCGCTGATTCTCTGTGCGAATGTGGGCCTCCGTGTTATGGTTTTCTTCATCGACTTCTGCACTTGCAACGTAATGCTCATTGTCTACACTCACACCAATATCGTTGTTCTTCTCAGAAGAATTTTCCTCGAGTATCACGCTGTATTGCGGTAATTGCTCTGCGCTTTGCGACTTCTGTATTTCGCCATTTTGATCTTTCTGAGTAATTTTCGCTATAGCACCAGTGGTAACACGATAGGTTTGTGCGCCAATTTTCTGGAGACGCTCGATTATGTCTTTCGAGGATGGGGAGTTGCGATGAGGCATTGTATTTTGACGGCATAATCTTCCCGGTTTTTGGTTTGGAATGGGAAGATCGTCCAGCGAGTACCTGAAGTGACTCATACGATTTGAATTCGATTGTGGTTGGGCGATTGCACTGAGTAGTGATTGCATCCATTGTTCCTGTTGAGATCGATCTTCCGCTCGCTACAAGACAAGTTGAAAAAAAATCGACTAAGAAAAACTTACCAAAATGATTGTGCTGGCACGGCACTCGATTTGAAAAACGCCACTAACTGACATGGCCGGTTTTACGTTGCAGGGCGGGCAAAGATTAATCGAACCCTTGCAAGGACTGAGGGATTCGTATTCGTCCTTCGACCGGTAGTAAAGTAGCAGCCGCCCTTCCAGCACAAACCAATACTTTTTCCACGGCGAACCCAGTCTCTACAAGTTTATTACAAAGGAAAAACAATTAAACTGGAGACACTCACCAATTTGGCTTTCTTCTCCAAATAACCCGAAATGCGATGATTTGATTGCGGCGTATTTGCCATTGTTGGCTCATCGAGCGACTTCTGAAATAAAGACTTTGTGTGTAAGCGAAAGTATTTAGACGCATTATTGTACAATTGTGCATTATTATTAAAATGAAAGTAAGAGAAGTTTTAATATTATGCAAAATATATGGTACGGTTATTTGCTCGTGAAAAACTTTCCCATTTAAATCTACTTATAAGCATTAGATTTCACTATAATACCTATCGGTCATAATTAATCATAATTTAAAATTAGCTTCAATCTAGTGCAGCACTTTCTGCATTTTGATCATCGACAGTTTAGAGCACAAATTGTGAAATTTTGCAATTAGCCAGTTTTGAATCACCTACTTACCTCGGACCGTAAATGAAAGAATTAAATAAGTTAATTGCATTGTCTTTGCTAATCACTTCAGTCCGGTCACTTAACTTTAATGTATTAGGTGTTATTTAATGGATTAACAGAGCGCAACATTGGGCTCAAACTAAAAGACTAGCAGAAGAAATTTGTATGACATAATAAAGCACCTAGGTAATAATAGACTTACACAAATTAACAAGATTACGTTCGTAATTTTAGATTTAAAAAAGGCGATCATTTCTCCTTTGACGCTATACGGGGCTAGAATCCAAAACAATTCGTACTTTTTTGATCAGACTTCTCAATCAAAAGTTATAGACTAGAAACCAATTTCGAAAAAAAATTCAAAGGGCTGTAACTTTTGAACTAGTAGCCAATCTTGGAACTGTTTGAAATTATGGATTCTACAGGCCACATTCTATAAGAAAATTTTTTTCCGGGTCGATCTGAGACAATTTTTTTTTCGGGCCTCAAAAAAAGGCAGTGTACAACCTTCCTTTTTTACCAAAAATCGACTGCACCAAATTTCTCGGAAAACACTTTTTGTTATTATTTTGGTGCGAGAATCCAAACAATTCGTACTTTTTCGATCAGACTCTCAATCAAAAGTTATGGATTCTACAGGCACATTCTAAAAGAAAATTTGTTTTCCGGGTCGATCTGAGACAAATTTTTTTTCGGGCCTCAAAAACAGGCAATGTTATAACCTTCCTTTTTTACCAAAAATCGACTGCACCAAAATTTCTCGGGAAAACACTTTTGTTATTAATTTGGGTGCGTAGAATCCAAATCAATTCGTACTTTTTCGATCAGACTTCTCAATCAAAAGTTATAGACTAGAAACCAATTTCGAAGAAAAATTCAAAGGGCTGTAACTTTTGAACTAGTAGCCCAATCTTGGAACTGTTTGAAATTATGGATTCTACAGGCCACATTCTATAAGAAAATTTTTTTTCCGGGTCGATCTGAGCCAATTTTTTTTTCGGGCCTCAAAAAAAGGCAGTGTATAACCTTCCTTTTTTACCAAAAATCGACTACACCAAAATTTCTCGGGAAAACACTTTTTCTTATTAATTTTGGTGCGTAGAATCCAAAACAATTCGTACTTTTTCGATCAGACTTCTCAATCAAAAGTTATAGACTAGAAACCAAATTCGAAAAAAAATTCAAAGGGCTGTAACTTTTGAGCTAGTAGCCCAATCTTGGAACTGTTTGAAATTATGGATTCTACAGGCCACATTCTATAGGAAAATTTTTTTCCCGGTCGATCTGAGACAATTTTTTTTTCGGGGCTCAGAAAAAGGCAGTGTACAAACCTTCCTTTTTTACCAAAAATCGACTGCACCAAAATTTCTCGGGAAAACACTTTTTCTTATTAATTTTGGTGCGTAGAATGAACGGGCTGGTGCAGTACCTCCAAAACTTCCCCGTTAATCATCAACATTTTTCCGAGGATTCTTCTTGGTTCAGCTACCAGAGCTATAAGATACCGAATGCAAACAAAACGAACTAAATATATTGAAAACTGTAGTAGTTAAGGCCTCGGACGGACGGGCGGAGAATGTGACCATAATAGCCTTCAAACATGAGTTGGAAAATTCGCTAAAAATATCACAAAGACTATAAAGTCCTGCTTCTAAAAGAAAGTGAACTTGTTTTAAATCGATTGTAAAATTAATATTTCTGAAAAATGAGAAAAACTATGCACAGTAGCCAATCAACCAAAAAATATAGAAAAGGCTATAATCTTGCCTCTAAAATTCATAAAAAATCGACATATATTGCCTAGCGTTGGACAAAAAAATCGAAATCAAAAAATGATAATCGATAATCGGGTTTGTTGTTTTAAATTAATCGATTATTTGATTAATCAATTATTTAAATAATCAATTATTTGAACAATCGATTATTTGATTATAATTGATTTTGATTAATCGATTATCTGATTAATCGATTATTTGATTAATCGATTATCTCATTAATCAATTATTTGTAATAATCGACTATCGATATAATTCAAACCTGTAATCGCCCACCCCTAATCGTCAAAACGTGTTTTTAGTAAGGGAAGCTCTATTCTAACTGATAATAGGGATGATGGCCTTACTCCAGATCATGCAGAACCATTAATTTTCATCGCATGTAATTCAGTTTACGTTACATAGATTGCCTAATAATAAGTGTATCATATATGTTATTCAATAAACAATATATTTTCATGGTACATTATAAACGAAATTAGCTTTTTATTTTACCAAATCGTAGTCGTAAGACATGAATGCCGAGACGAATGCAATAAGTGCATAATGGTAGGCATTAAAAAAACTAAAAAAAATTAACTAAAAACAAATAATAAATCATCATCATTATAAACAGTGACAGATGTAGACAATTTACTGTTTAGTCACAATGAATAAATAAAAAATTATTTAAAAATTATTTAAAACCCATTTTTTGTTTATTTAATTGATTGTGTTTAAAGGAACTACAAGCAACCCTCTATTTCCGCCTAAAGGAAATCCCTTTCCTTTCTGAAATTACGTACCCATACCTAATTTTGAAGAAAATTTGATATGACATTACAATATGAGGTACTGGTACATCAAATATTTTTCGTTACATGACCGATTATGGTTAAGGTATCCACAAACAACCATGTAAAATGAAATTAGGTAAGGTTTTAGATTTGTGATATTGAAAAGCCAATAAAAATGCTATAATACTTAGCACATACCGAGGCACATACCTCCCCATTGGAGGCCTAAGGAGGTGACACTTTTTTTAATATGAGTTTACTGCAATTTTATGAAAAACGTGCTTTTCTTCAAAATAACTCCAAAGAAATTGTCCAAAAGCACAAATTTGAGCATAAAGAGCCCAAAATTAATAGCTTTTAAACATGCATTCACTAGATGTGATACAGTTTCAACCTCAGTTTCAACATTTTATAATAAGAGCAAAAAAAATTTTTTTACCTTATAGAAAAAAGAGCCGATGAAAGAGAACAGGCCCCGAGATAATTTGCAATACCACCAAAAATTGTACAAGGCGGAAGGTACTGTGCAATATTATTGTACGGAACTGCTAAAGACATAGATAAACATAGAGACAATTAACTTTCACGAGATGGTTAGTGACAAAACTTTATTTTATAGCCGAGGCAGAAGCCAAATTATAAAGCTTCTGGAAATTCTGAATTTAATTTAGACGTCAAAAATAACATGCTTAGTTTCTGCCGACGCGGTCGTTTCCATGTCATCTGTGCTGAACGTCATTTTATATCGTACTCCGCGTCCCATTTGAAATAATAATGACAAATTTCATTAGAATGCACAATCATCCGTTTCAGTTTATCTACCCTTACGGTTAAATAGCGACTTAATGTTCTCATTCAAACCTATGAAGATGTCAATTTAACATGTGCTATAAAATGAATGATATTATAAGGAGTGGCGTCCGAAACTATTTTTACAACTTAATCCGTGTGTTCCGTCTTCGTTATCTAATTCACCGCAAATACATGTGTGAGGAGCACAGATACGAAGTACAATAGAGATCCGAAAGGTATATTATCCATAAGAGTACCAAGGGATTCTGAGCAATGCATACAACCATCCATTAGATTCTGAAAGGGAAGCAGCTAAAAATCTTGATCTGTATCTTTTGATGCAGTTAGAGATAGGTTGTCAATACTTTGACTTAGTGTGGTGTCACACTATGCGTTTTTACCGCTCCCGCTAAAACGCTCCTGTTTGACGGGATGATAATATCACACGTTATTAAAGGGTACCAGTCACATATATGCGTTTTCGCCGCACCAACCGGATGCAACCGCATCCTGCTGCCGCTGCGCAGGATGACATGACAACCACAATGACATGAAACCACGTGTTGTTGCACGTTGGTTGTCATCAGTTGTCACACTGAGCGATGCAACCGGGTGTTTTGTTAGGTTTACAATGTTTGATGTCGGTTTATTCATCGAGTGCGTGCATGCAAAAACTGCACTGTGGGAAAAACAATCTAAAGAGTATGTAGATAAAAACTGTAGGGAGGAATCATGGGTAGAAATTGAATTTTTGGACATTCGGTAATATACAAAAAAATTTTTCTTGTTCATTCGAATTTTTTCATAAAACTTCGCGAACCTATTATTAGATTCTCGTCCTGAATTAAAAGGATCAATCTAATATTGACAATATATCTGCTTTCGCAATAGCCCCTCCGCCTCAAGCGCACAAACCATCTTTAACAATAATTGAGACATGCCACTACTTAGACTGCCAAAATATAGCAAAAACGCATCCCTTTAAACCGGAATAGTGTGACAAGTAGATCTCATCCTGTCAAACCGCATCCGTTTTAGCGGGAGCGGTAAAAACGCATAGTGTGACACCACACTTATGCCTTCACAATATCCCAATTTTGTTGATCTAAAAAGGAAATTCAAGTTCCAAATTAGTCCATTCATTAATTCCATCACAGCAATCTGCATCCAAATGTATGAAAATTATATTCATTCCAGGAGAAATATTGTCAAATTTCGTTGAAATATCTTTATTCTTTTCGGAGAGGAAGAATAATTCGCATTTTGATGTGTTAAATTTTGAGTCCGCGAGTGAACGAGTCAATGATTGTGGTAAAATCAGATAGAATGACATCTTGGTTTCATAATCCGCCATCTTTCTTGATCAGTGCACATAGGGAATCACCGTGTAGAATTCTGAAAATGGCTTCATTTTATTTACCAGCGAATAAAAAGTTACATAATCTGATTAACGAAAGTATAAGGTACATCCCAGCTCCACCATTATATTTTGATGTTGCAGCGATTCCCATCTATTCCACCACTTGAGCCTGTGATTGTTTAAGAATGCAATCCTCAATTGAATGGGAGAGTTTGTACGCTGCAGTTGGTCGAGCGTCTTTCGGGATCCTTTTGAGGATTCTTATATTTCCTTTTACCTAAATGTTGTAGTGTAATAATAATGTTGTAGTGTAATAATAATAATAATAATCATGTCGTTAATAAACGACATGATTATTATTATTATTATCCTCAACAGGTGAAATGATGACCAAAATTTATGGATTTGTGTGCTAAGCTCCAGTGCCTCTTGATGTCACTTTTCTTATAAGATTTGTGACATATTTGGACATTCAACTTTGGGTGAATTTATTGCAATACCATGGATTGGAGTCCGTTCCTAAGTGTATGATGTCAGTTGAGGTTAAAGATACGCATTTGCCGTGAAACCAGTGAAAGTTTTCGCTTCTTCGTTTTCGTAAACTAATTTCTAGTTTTGTATCAATAAATTGGATACTGCAACCCCATCACCGTCGCTTTTCCTTGTTGTGGGACGAATTTTCCTTTATGAACAAATTTACGCGAAACGTCGAACGTTTGGTAACAACATTATCCCGACTTTATCCGTGTTGTCAATAACAGTGTCTAAATTTTATTCGCCCTTTCGATGGAAGCGATGGAAGGGAGCAGGGATGGGAGCTATTCAATCAATGAGCCGAGGCATGAGCATTTCATTGTTGGGAATTGAAAAAAGTTTCTTTTGGATATTAAAAACCAGGGATAGGGAGGTAGGTATTAGGCTCAGTTTTACCAGTAGGAAGGTAGTACAACCCATTTGTTATTAATTTGGCAACTCGGTAACTGTTGTTATATAAATAATGTGAAATCGCTTCTTATTTCTCTCGTTATTTCTTTTGAAATTAGTTACAAACTTCCTCGTTCCATGCTCAAAAGTATTAAAGTAACTGCAATCGACAAGGCAGAAGTACGAATTGTTTGGATTCTACGCACCAAAATTAATAAGAAAAAGTGTTTTCCCGAGAAATTTTGGTGCAGTCCATTTTTAGAAAAAAGGAAGGTTGTACACTGCCTTTTTTTGAGGCCCGAAAAAAAATTGTCTCAGATCGACCCGGAAAAAAAATTTTCTTATAGAATGTGGCCTGTAGAATCCATAATTTCAAACAGTTCCAAGATTGGGCTACTAGGTAGTTCAAAAGTTACAGCCCTTTGAATTTTCTTTCGAAATTGGTTTCTAGTCTATAACTTTTGATTGAGAAGTCTGATCGAAAAAGTACGAATTGTTTTGGATTCTACGCACCAAAATTAATAAGAAAAACTGTTTTCCCGAGAAATTTTGGTGTAGTCGATTTTTGGTAAAAAAGGAAGGTTATACACTGCCTTTTTTTGAGCCCCGAAAAAAAAATTGTCTCAGATCGACCCGGAAAAAAAATTTCTTATAGAATGTGGCCTGTAGAATCCATAATTTCAAACAGTTCCAAGATTGGGCTACTAGTTCAAAAGTTACAGCCCTTTCAATTTTCTTTCGAAATTGGTTTCTAGTCTATAACTTTTGATTGAGAAGTCTGATCGAAAAGTACAAATTGTTTTGGATTCTACGCCCCAAAATTAATAAGAAAAACTGTTTTCCCGAGACATTTTGGTGCAGTCGATTTTTGGTAAAAAAGGAAGGTTATACACTGCCTTTTTTTGAGCCCCGAAAAAAAAAATTGTCTCAGTTCGACCCGGAAAAAATTTCTTATAGAATGTGGCCTGTAGAATCCATAATTTCATACAGTTCCAAGATTGGGCTACCAGTTCAAAAGTTACAGCCCTTTGAATTTTCTTTCGAAATTGGTTTCTAGTCCATAACTTTTGATTGAGAAGTCTGATCGAAAAAGTACGAATTGTTTTGGATTCTACGCACCAAAATTAATAAGAAAAACTGTTTTCGCGAGAAATTCTCTCGGTAACTGTTGTTACATAAATAATGTGAAATCGCTACTTATTTCTCTCGTTATTTCTTTTGAAATTAGTTACAAACTTCCTCGTTCCATGCTCAAAAGTATTAAAGTAACTGCAATCGACAAGGCAGATGTATGCACCTGGCTATCCAATATAAATTAAGTGCATTGTCTTTTGTTACTCATTGTTGTATTTGTTAATATGGTTTACCAGAGCATAAAGTTGGGACCAGATGTGGAACGTTACAAAATAGAAAACGAATAAGGCTGTCTCGAATGCTGTTGATTATCGCCCTTTCAAGGGGGAACAATTCAGAAATACCTTCGATGGGGTGCAAGGGAGGTACAGGTAATATACTGTTACGCTAGGCTAGCTCTAGCACCGTTAGTTGCAAAATTGCGCTTCCGTAAGATATATAAATCGTTTATACTCACGTCACGTTCCGGTCCGATTTTTAAAAATTTAAGATATGCGTATCTTACATAAAAATGCGCTAATATGCGTGAGTTCATTGAAATATGAAATCGCATCGCAAAGATATGCCTTTCTATATGTACATTGTTGATACCGAAAAAAACCCATGAACATCAGGAGGACGAAGATAGATGTTTTTCGGTTTAAAGTGGAAAACCTCCATCAGTTTGATAAAAACTCAATCGCCGACAAAACAAGCGCACATCCTGTTGATTAGGAACAAAATAACAAAAATGAAAGACACAAAAATTGCGCAATATTCCAAACTTTTTCTCTTATTTTTTTTTGAAAATATTACACTCACCGAAGTGTCTTCCCAATTATAATCCTCACTGGTGGTTGCCCGAAATAGAAGCAATCGCACATGCACACCTTTCAGACCACTTCACCTATTATTTGCGGGACGGGTTTTTCGAATGTGTGTAACTTTAGCGTGAAAAAATCCGAGTAAAGCACAACAAGGACGATACACGCGGTGATGCATTTGCTTCCCCTCGCGGAAGTTACACTTCCGCTCTCTCTTTCTAATGTATAATATGTAGATCAGTTTACTAAATTAATACAATACACCATCATCATCAGATTATTTTAGTGTTTAATTGGCACTTTACAAGAACGGCTGATGCCTTTGTCTTTCAGTACCACGTTCAATGATCCGGAAATTTGAAGCCGGAAGCATCCTTCTTATTTTCGAACAAATGGATGGAGTGCTGAAAATTGGAAAACGCTTGTGGTTTTTAACCTTTTATTCGACAGAAATAACATGATTTACCTACCTATAGGCTATACGTGCAATTGAACAGTTTTTACCTGTCAGCAAGTTTGAATCTGCTCTGTGCCCAAAATTTGGGATGTTTCAAAAATTTTAGGCGTGCCTAGAACAGCTTTGCTTTTGATACTTACTCGTGAAATAAAGTCAGTAGATCGTATAGTAAATCGTAGGGGATAGGTGTCAGCCATTTTGAGCAATTCTTGCTGATGCATTTTCCGCCCAAAATTTTGTTATATAGCAAATTGAGTCGACGTACTTCTAAAGTTCTAAGTAAACTTAATCGGCTATTTTTATGCACTTGAGATATTACTGATGAAAATCTACCTGATGAAAAAAATTTTGTTTTGGCTTTTTGGTCTACCTAAAAACATTGTAATTTTAAATGTAAGTTTTTGCAGCAAATTACTCATATAAGTCGAATGTAGACGTCCGGTGGGAAAGCCCCACCAGATTAAATAAACAAAATTTCATTTCATTGCAAAAAATGGATATCGCGATGACAATAACTTAAAACATTTTAATTACATTTTGTAATATTTTCACAATCATTTAGACTTTAGAGGTTTTTGATTTTGGTATATATGTTACCGCTAATGTTAAAAAAACGTTAATGTGCACATTGGCGGGTTAATCTGCAGATTAACTGTTCAGATCCGTTAAAGTTGCGAAATTTCCTTTAAATTAGTAGCATTCTGTAAGATTACCTAGCTAGTTAATCTGCACAAGATCGTTAAAGTGCGAAAAAGTATTGAAAAGAGCAATACAAACACGTGATTCACTTATACAATAAATGATTTCATTGCAGTAATGTTCTAAAAAGGTTTTTACTACATACCTACCTAATTTTAAAAAAATGGAATTGATGACGATCCATACTCTTATGTGGTATCTTCTTAAGTATCAAAGAGAAAATGAAACTTCATATCTTCACCACATTAATTTAATAAAATAAAATGCTGACATATACATATATTAGGTAAAATATGTTTTCGCAAAATAATGCCATTATTACCTAAAGCCTACAAAAAGTCAATTATTGAACAGCTGTTAGCGAGATGAACCTTACAAAATTCGTCTTAGTTTTAAAGTTTAAATTGACATGATAACTTAACAATGTCCATATTGTTTTAATTAATAACATCCTCAAACCAAATCCAAAAAAATTACTGAAAAAAGGGAGATTAGATTAGCTAATACATGATTTATACCTACAAAGGGCCCTCTAACTGTGGTTAATTAATTGCAAAACTAAATCATCTTATTCTATAACTATACATATACGTTCAGATACGAACTGAATATGGATAAATGGCCAAATTTTATTATCGACAAAGGCCAGCAACATAGTCTTACAGTCTGGTCTTGAATCGACTGTAATATTTAAAACTGCTCTAAGTTAATTAAATTCTTGTAATTATCATGTAAATGAAAAATCTTGGCACTCTTAGTAATGTCAAAGGAATGATTGGTATGGTCTTCAAAACATGCGTAGTAAAATTAGATTTGCAATTTAATAAATTATCGGCCTTATAATTGCTTTCTAGTGTTCATTTATTCGCTCTGTAAAAGTACGAGTGGTCATACCGACATAAATACTGTTGCAACTACCACATTGTAACTCATACACCCCCGAACTCGTTAACCTCTCTAATGTATCTTTGCTTTTGCAAAATTGATTACTAATGTTCGATGGAACAAATATTTTTGATTTACTAAATTCTTTTTGAATCAATTAACAGCTATGAAACCCAAATGGTGGATGCTTCCAAAATAAGTTCTTTTACAATCGTCATCTAATGTTAATTCACAACAATTACGTAAATCTAGCTTATATATCTTCTCTTATTAATCATACGTGCCACAAGATTTGGATCATAACCATTATTGAGTGCTACCTGTTTAATTTAACTAATTTACTAATTAAATTTATCAATTTTCATGGGAATTTTCAAAGCTCTGTTAATTAAAATTAATTAAAATCTGCTAATTTATGAGTTAAATATTATCTGTGTATAAGTAGGTTTTCTATACCTATACTTGAAATTCAAATTTATCATTGCAAATTAGTAGCCTAGATACCTTTGAAAAGGTAAATAACATCGTCAACATATCTGTACCAGACTATCACACGTCTTTTAAACAGTAAAGCTCTCTCTAAATTATTCATAAAAACATCAATTTATAATGGTGAGAGACAGTCTCCCATATTCAGACCTGAATCTTGTTTGTAAAATTTACTATTAAATTGACAACAATTTTGTTGTAAACAAACATTAAACATCATTTCTGCAGTAAAATCATTTGCTTCCGCGTCGCTCAAATTACTATCATTAAGGTCAGCTGCGGCGGATTTAAATTTAAATATAATTTTTTGCGCCCCTAGGCACACCGAAAGATATGCGCCCCAAAATAATCTTTAAATTGAAATAAATTTTAAAATAAAAATCAAATTATAATATGAAATTTTGAAAACTAATAAGTATGAAAAGAATCTATATACCAATTCCAAATTATTTCACAATTTTAATTAAACATTTTTGTCATTTATAACTTGTTAGGGGACTTATTTTAAAACTTAAAATGTTACCTAAAATAAATATATTGCAAAAAATGCCGCCTCCTAAAGCTGCCGCCCCTAGGCACGTGCCTAGTGTGCCTATATGTACCTAAAACCGCCACTGCTATATTACCTAAGATGGGAAACAAATTCTTTGTGTCAAAACTGATAAGAACAGCATGCTTTGGGACCACTACATGTTTAATTTTATTGATTAAATCTATAGAGTTTTTAATTGTAAAGTCTGAGTTCAAATTTACTAAGGCCCTAAAGTGCGAATTAATAATTTTGACAATTTATAAATTGATGAATTAACTTGTGAATTTACCTACTCTCAATGGTATATTGGTAAAGTCACGTGAGGAGGTTTTATGTAATTTTGGTAAGCAATGCATCAAGGGAGGCCTGGGGTTCTTCTCGATTGTACTTTTACATTTGAAAACCCATTTTCGTTGATGAATTGTTCAACACAAATGGTAACAAGAACACAAGATGTTGTCTTCCCCAAATAGATTCTTAACTCTTAATCTATTTGGGGAGGACAACATCTTGTGTTCTTAATATTACAACCCAATTCGAGATGACGGAATTCAGAAAGTACAAATGGTAACGTTTTAGTTTTTACTATAATATTACAGTTAAACTTTTTTGAAATTTACTAAGTTTGAAACTATCAGTTTTAAACCAATTAATGATTCTATTGAATAGCTTTTGTATTTTAAAACTCGGATCATTACCACCAAAATTAACTTTATAGAGTATAGTTTGAATAGCTAGGTACTCCCGAGGGTACTCCTAGTTTTTCAAAATGAGTAAATTGCAAAAAAGTTTAACCAAAGGGATGCATAAAAAAGAAATTTGAAGAAATACACAATTTAAACATCTCAAATTGTACAATAAAAATAACGTATCGTGTCAAATGCAGAACACGTCAAAAAAGATCAACCCCTGTAATGTAATGTAATCGAGGTTTGCTGTGAGTGTGAATTTTCTAAAAAAGTACACAATTTTAATTCAAAATGGAACTTTATCTGTTGCTTATATCATTTTTAACACCAGTAAGAAACGTTTTGGAGGGTAATATATTACCCTCCAAGATTATTTAAACATAATATATCCATGAATACAACTAGTTGGCGCACCACAAACTTTACACGTAAACGAAAATGTTTTGAAAAATTCTATAATTTGAAAATAAGATGGGATTTTATTTTTTGGAGGTTATTGAAGGATCCCTTTGAATGATCCAAATAGGTGTCAGAACGTAAAATTGTAGACATTTATTGTGCATGTGTTGGGAATTTGGTTTTAAATACTTTTCACGTGCACGTACCCATATAAAATCCTCTGTTTTGAAAATTTGTATATAAAAATTGGAATTCCAAGATTTCAAAAAGTAGAATTTTAGAAATTATTGAAAATCTTATACGATTGAAAGGTAGAATTTTTAAGAATATCATGAGTCATGACCCCATTTCTTAAAATCAAATCTCAAAGTGTTATAATTTCAAATGAAACATTGCGAATAAATTTTAATAAATGTTGTGTTATGTTTGTAAACTTATGAGATATATTGTAAGTGATGATAGGCAACATGTTATACAATGCAAATTTAGAATATCAATGGTAGCCGGTCGTTCTATTTGTATATCATCCTACCATTGAGTAATTAAATACAGAATAAGGCTATTCTCTTTAATCTATTTTAATGCAAATAACGTAATGGGGTCGGCCTTAAGTTAAGGCCAAGGAACTACCGTGTACGAACCAAGAGGTTTTCAAGTTTACTTCCTTTTGGCATTGATTATACAGTGTGTATAATCAATGCTTTGAGTAACAAACGTTATCAAATATTAATTATTCAATTGTCATTTTATTTGGGTAGCCTATATTATCTTCATGTATATTGAACAAATCGTTTTGTTCTCCGATTTTAGATTCTTGGTACTTGGACTCTCGCAAAGGCATTTCCTCCACAAGTTCATTATTTCTCTAATTAACTATCGTCACAAAAATTATCAGGTAAATTAACAGTTTACCGATAAACGTCAATGTCAAGCAAATGTGAACTAAACTTTAGCTAGCATATAGTACTTATGCTATTGATATCATTCTGACCTAATTATGGTCTTTCCTTAATTACACGATTAATTAACATAATCATTCTTGAAGAGTATTATTATAGCAGGTGTCTTATCTGCAAAGGGATTGGTCCACAAGGACGATAATAGGCCCAACTTTATACACAGAATTTCTTATTGTTATTATTATTTGTTATTGTAACGGATTTTTACTTATTAATTTTACTATAGGTATTACGTCCCCCTAAGCAGAGCTGGGCAGAATACTTTCCAAAAGTATTTGAATACTAAATAGTAAATACTTTACACAAATCAAATGTATTTGAATACTAAATACTTTTACGTCCAGCACAAGCGAATACTAGATACAGATACATTGAAAAGTATTCAAATACTTAAAAAAATAAGTATTCAAATACTTTAGAATGTATTCGAATACTTTCAAAAGTATTCGAATACTTTCAAAGGTATTCGAATACTATAAAAAGTATTCGAATACAAAAAAGTATTCTAATAATACACTCAAATACATTAAAAATTTAAAATAGTATACTAGATAAAAAATCAAGTTATACTTTGTATGGGGTTTTCTTTTTTATATTTCTATTGTTATTTATATTGGTATTTAAGGGGAGTAAAAGTGTATCATTATTATTATATTATTATATAGGGGGTACCTACCAGGACCTTTCTTATACTCGTACCAGTTATGTCCTTAAGAATACGTGTACCAGTTTTCAAAGCGATCGTACATCGTGAAACATGATACGTACGCAGATCCATTTCTGACCATCCGTTTGTCCGTGTGCGTGATAACTTGTTTAGAAACGTGCGATCGCTTTGAAAATTGGTACACATGGTCTTAAGGATATAAAAAAAGTCCCTATTGTTTTTAAGTTATGTAGACTATCGATTCAGATGTATCGGATTTTTATATTTGATTTTGTGACAATGGAACCTTTCCCTAAACATTTCTAAATTGTTCTCAAATATTTGAATAACTTAAAAGTACTGTCTATTTTTGAGGCCGGAAAAAAAATTGTCTGAGATCGACCGGGAAAACATTTTCTTATAGAATTTGGCCCGTAGAATCCATAATTTCAAACAGTTCCAAGATTGGGCTACTAGTTCAAAAGTTACAGCCCTTTGAATTTTTTTTTGAAATTGGTTTCTAGTCTATAAGTTTTGATTGAGAAGTCTAATCAAAAAAGTACGAATTGTTTTGAATTCTACGCACCAAAATTAATAAGAAAAAGTGTTTTCCCGAGAAATTTTGGTGCAGTCGATTTTTGGTAAAAAGGGAAGGTTACCTAAGTATTCAAATACTATGCGAAGTATTCGAATACTTTACGAGGTATCCAAATACTTTGCGAAGTATTCGAATACTAAATATTTGTGAAAGTATTTGAGTTACAAATACAAATACTGCTTCCATAAAAGTATTTAATTACGAAGTATTTGAATACTTTAAAGGATTTGAATACTAAAAAGTATTTACAAAATCGAATACTGTCCAGCGCTGCCCCTAAGCACACCAAATGGTACAAATGAAAGACGATTCGAAAAGAAGTGATGGGAAACTGCATATTTGTTGTAATGGTAACATGTGAAAGTGAAACATGACATTAACAAACATGCAAACATTAGAATTGAGTGCTACCCACAGTATCCCAATACAATCGATGGTACTTGCCAACCAAGAGCAGCAGTGGTCAAAAAGAATTTTGATGATCTAACATTTTTTTCTAAATGATGATTCTGACGTTAACATGAAGCTCCCAAATAAGGACGATGCGCTAATCTCATTGAAGTACGACTGCAATATAAACCTTGGACACTTGCATGCTTTTATAATTTGCAAAACGTTTTCGATTATTATAGGTCAGCCTGAGGTCACACTCGCATTCGCATGTAAATTTTATGTATTCGTTATTCAAAATCTAGTAGAAAAACAGGTCGTAACACTTGATAAAAGAGCAAGGCCTGTAAGTTGTCATCACATCGGCCCATACCATATCAAATTCCTTAATTTTATCAATACCTGACCAAATTGTGGTTTTTATGTTTCTTTAATAATAATTGTAAAAATTAACAATGATCACAGAGAAGGTAAACTAATATTTACATATAAATAATTTACATTTACTCTCATTATGAGAGGGTAGATAAATCAGACTCTTGAAGTTTGTTTAGAAGGCACCCCTAAACATTGTGCATCACAGTTTTGCCTAACGCCGTATCGATGGTGTTGTCGACCGTCCCCGTTTCGCTTTTATCGACGTTATTCCACCATTGCGTTTCGCCGCTCGCAAAAATTACGTAGATGATGTTGGTTACGGTAAATACGCCTAGGGTAATCCAAAACACCAGTTGCCACTCCTCCAAAGTGTGCTGAAAAAGGATAAGTTAAGGCTGAACATGCCGTTTTTAATGAGACTTACGTCGGTAGTGAGTGCGCCGATTAGATATGGGGTGATGATGCCACTGATGGCACCGATTCCGTTTACAATTGCCATAAGCGTGCCCGCGAAATTTGGAGATAAATCCAAAGCGTTAACTTTCATTCCGCAGTAGAAAGTGCCCATTAGTCCCATGGCGATGGTGAAGAGCGCAACGGCTAAGTATCGATCGCAGCCACTGTAACTGGCGCCCACTATAAAAACGGCCGGTCCCATGGATGCTGTAACAAGTTTACGTTATTGAATGTCACTGGGAAAGACGAGGTCGTATTACCGACTGTTGTGAAGAATTTACGAGCGAACGTGATGCCCATATATTCTTTTTTAATTATCCAATCGCAGAGCCAACCCGATCCAAGGGAAACGATCCACATGAGCACATACGGAAGCGATGACCAAAGTCCATTCTCGTCAATTTTAAATTTGAGTATGTCCTTCATGTATTTGGGTAAATCGGTAACCATAGCGAAGAATCCCCAATCGTGTCCAATTTGTGCGGCGATTAACGCCCAAAGCGGGACCGATGTCAAGATCGCCTTCCAAGGTATCGGATTGTTTTCGTTCGAAACATTCGCTAGTTCTTTGCGAAGGAAATTTTTTTCCTTATCACTGATGAAGGGATGCGATTCGGGATCTGAGTAGCACATCAGGGTCCATATCACAAACCAAACTACTCCAAATCCACCGAAGAAATAAAAGACGGAAGCCCAATCTTGAGTTTCTTTAATCAGGATACCACTCAGCGACGTACCGAGGACTGTTCCGAGTAAACTGCCTGCGAACGTTAAGCTACCCAAACGCGATCGCTCACTGAGAGGTACCCATTTTGCTAGCAAAGCGTTTATGGCCGGAAACGTTGTGCCCTGCAATCGTTTTGGTCAGTAAACTCTCGGAGAGAATCTGTCACTTACCTCGCCCAAACCGACACACACTCGCAAAGCACACAACCATCGCCAATCACCATCGACCAGCCTCGTCACCGCGGGTGTTATCAATGTGAAGACTGCCGTAGACAAAATGCCGATACCCAAAGAGTACTTGCCACCAAACTTCTCCGCCAAAATACCCCCAGGCATATGCGTAATAACATACCCCCAGTAGAAAGAACTCAGAATCAGCCCTTGCGTTGTTTCGTCCCAGTCGTACAAATCTTCCGGATTCTAAAACGGCGAGTTATTAGAAAGAGACGGAAGACATTCAAATGATCACCTTTATAATTGGCCCATCGCCCTCACTATCACCCTCAACTTGGCAACCATGATCGCCCGACGATGTACTGTTCCTTGGTATTACCATCTCTGTAATTGCTATGGACAACGTCGTTCTCATGGTGTACGCGTTTAAAATCGCCAAAAATCCCATAATCGCCACGATGTACCGATGCGGAATTATAAAACCTGAAAGAAGCCAAATAGGTGCCTAATGAGAATTTAAGTGAGCGCGTCAATTAATGTATACAAAATAACAGGTTAATTTTTTAATTGGCTGCCTAGAAATGGTGCGATATTGTGTGGTTTTAGCACACCTTGGCCTTAAAAAAGAAATTTAATTGTGTTACTTTCTCGCCAATAAAATTTGCACTTTTTAGCGGTCGGTACTCTGTAATTAAGGCAAAAAAAACCGATTTAAGTACAGAAACCAGATTCACTTGCTTATATAATTTAGGTCGGTGGTCTTGGGTAAGATTCAGCTGGCATTTCATTAAGGAAATTCCTATTTAATAATCGGTACTTACATTTTGAGAGGTACAATCTCCAACCGGTTAACATTTCAAGATTAATCACCGAAAAACCTCACACTTAAATTATCTAACACCCGATTAGAGCTTTTGAAACACTGAGTCGGACCGCGACTGTTGGTTTTATATATATGTATATATCGATGTATTACATTATATTCTTTAAGTACCTACACGTAATAATCAGGTGTCTGATTCCTAAAATCGTATTCGCTCAAAGTTTTGCCCCACTTTTACGATCAAAATTGATAACGCAAAGGGGTACGTCCAGTTTGAGAATGAGACAAACCTTATTGGAGGTCACTAATTAAATGTTCATTAATTTCCAATTATTTCGTCACGATTTCATTGCACAGTGAACGAACCTGGGTCGGGTAATTAAATCTTGAACTTCAATCTTTCGTATGTGTGCAAATCTATAATCGATCCTCCACCTCCAAGGTCAAAAACTCAAATTCTGCCATTCGCCTACTATGCCCGAAATTGACGGTACGGAACCCTTGCAGTTTTTGCTTGCGGTCAGTTGTAAAAGTTTATTGCGCACCCACTCGTCGATTTGAAAGTAAACAAATCTCGTTACCTACACTTTATACAGTTTCCCAATGGTGGGAAAAAAACGTAAAGTGACCCATTATGGTTTGGTACATGAGTTGGTAACCGTCCCCAAGGTAATGAGAACAAAAATCTTGTCAAACTCGATAAATGTAAAAAACTGATGCCGAAAAGTCATGAAGATCTTTTGTAAACCACACCAACCCATCAATATGCCTACTCGAAAGCGGACCTAATTATCGATAATGATAACATAGATACCCAGTATCTGTCAAGATTTCATTCATTGTTACCATCCCTAACCAGTATCACTTATTTGGATATCTTCACGATAGAAATCTAGTTGCTATGTATGATATGGTATCTAAACTTGGTGTGTAGGGACTCTTCATTGGGTTTTCAGCGAAATGGTAAACGTTTTTCCTAGCCGGAGACCGCGAAAACGAATGCCTTGTAGTTTCTAGCAAACTGCTAATTGATTTTGGTTATAATAAAACGTACCTTGTACTCTAGGTACTGCACAATTATCTGATTGTAGACTACTTGATAGGTATTAACTGGATAATTACAAGAACCTTTGTGCTATCTCAAAAATGTGTGCGTTTCCTACATTATGAAAACCTACTATTGATCGATGAATTTGTAAAGCCCAGTTGATCAATTCATTCTAAATGCAAGTAGGTAATTCTGGGAAGTGGATCCAGATTTGAAATAGCGAGAATTAGTAGATGATTTTGACGTATACCTAAGTGCATAGAGTGTATAGAGACCATTTCCCTTTAAAATTCTGTAAAATTCCTACCATTCTGTTAGGTATCTAGAGATTTCCGAATATCAAAATTATAGAAGCAATGACATTTAGAAAAAAGGAACTACAAATCTTGGGTCTAGTACAGTCAAATTAGACCAAAAAATGGGCATTCCGTGTATCAGATATGTCATCTCTAATTTTTCTTTTAAATTGTTAGGATCAATATGCATGTGAAAAATTCAAGTTTTCGACATTGAAAGACCTGTGCAAGCGACACAGCACTTGAAAATATGTCATTTTTCTTACCATTTTTTGGTTTTTGTAAGTTTTACTCCTGAAGAACCGATTTTAATGCAATTATTGTTGTATACTTTTTTGAACTAGACAAAATTTCTGACAATTTAAGCCCTTAACGATCTCCGCAAGTCTAATAGTTTCCGAGATACGGCGCTTCAACTATTGGTAAATTTATTAGTTTTACAAGTTTTATCAAAATTTGCATTTTTTCTTCGCAGAAAGTAAACTTACAAAATATGCACGATGAATTGTCGTAAGTCGTGAGTCGTAATAAACTTGTTGAAGAAGTGCTAACAATTGCGGATAATGAAAGCAAATTAAATATTGGTTTTTGTCTTATAGTCGAAAAATATCCATGTTATGATATTCATTCAAACCATTTGTTGTGAGTAAGCTTTCTGCTACTGTCACAGATCTTCTACATTCGGTGTCCCTTTTGAATGGTCCAGCAAGGTCAGGCAAAAGCAAAAAAATTCACCGATTTCGCAATTCATGCAACAGGTAGTGGATCTTGCTGAAGAAGAAGAAGATGACAACTTTCTTATCATGGGAGATGCTGGGGATGCACAGGATATCAACATTCTAGCTCTTACAGTGCGGATTTATGAAGACTCCTCACCACAAAGTCCCCCCAAACGAACAAAATTATAAAAACGTTCATGAGGTTTTTATGCGAAAAAAAGGCAAATTTGATTAAAACTGAAGAATTTACGAATTTTTGAAACGCTGTATCTCCAAAACTATTACACTTACAGATCCGGTTAAGGGCTTGAATTGTCACAAATTTTGGCTAGTTTAAAAAAGTATACGACAGTAATTTTTTAAAATCTGTCCTTCAGAACTAAAACTAACCAAAACCTGAAAATAATAGAAAAAATGGTGTATTTTCGAGTTGCTCGCACAGGTCTTTGGATGTCGAAAACTTGGATTTTTGACATTCATACTCAGCCTAACAAAATAAAAAAAAAAATAGAAATGACACATCTGATGCAAGGTATTATGATAATTTGACTGGACTAGTCGCCAACTTTTTCGACTAAAACATTGATGTATTGAAATGCAATTCTGGTAATTTTTGCTGGAAGTACGGCCAGGAATTGCAATTGTATTTTTCTTTTCGAGTTTTCAAAAGCCGGTTTTCCATTTCTATGTTGGTAAACTCTAGATACAAATTTTAATTTAATTTTTTAATAATATTAAAATATGGGATAATGTCTATAAACAATAGAACATGCAATTCCTAATGTACCTATGGCCCGATATACACCACATCATGTAAATAAGCATAACCAACCTTTCTTTCCTCCCATCAGTAGTTACAAAGGGCCAGCTAAATCGATGCCCACTACCTCAAATGCTACCGTCTCTGGTACGTGATTTACTGGAAGAGAAGGGGTTGGTGTTTACATTTTTTTACGATCGTACATCTTACAAACATATCATGAATGGATAACAGATCTTATAACACTTCTTCCTCTTATAATTCAGAACCTTTCACGAAGTATAGATACTAAGTGAACCTTAAATTCTAACATGACTTTTAGTATCATGTTTTTCAAATACCAATTTGCGCACCACGGTATGATCTTTTGGTAACAGATAAGGGTATAGAAAATCCACTGAATCGTCACGCCTTGAAATCCCGCTTCTTTCTCGAAGAAGACTGTCTTCCTCAATACTAACATTTAAAGTAACGAGGCTCATCGGGAAAAGCTTCTGCCCGAACTAAACGCAAAAGGACTTTCTCTGCCGATATTAATTCCGCTTGCTGTAAATCGCTCTTCGGAATTTTTCCTTTGCGACACTTGACAATGAATCGCTGGATCCGGGCTATCATCCTAATTATATTCCTAAAATTGGGAAAATATCGATAAAAGCTGTTAGCTAGTTTTACGTTCAATAACGATTTGATTACTGTCTTTAATCTTTCTCCTGCTACGTCATCTTGATACTTTGAGACCAATTCTCTTCTTCATCATATAACCACGAAGGTTCCTTCTACCATAGCGACTCTACGAGAGGCAATCAACTGGATTTTTATTTTTCGGTACGTGCCTGTTAGTGAGTGTTCTAATTTCTGTAATTCTATTTCTAACATATACCGGCCATTCTTCTTTTCGTTGAATCCAAGAAATTACTGTGAATCGCTACAAAAACAATACTTCCGTATGTTTTGAATTTTCTTCTGTAGGTATGCTTGTAAACAACCTTGACAAAATGGTAGCTGACACTAGCTCTAAACGTGGAATAGTATTTTCTTTGATGCCACATCTTCTTTCAACATACTTTCATATATATCTATATTCAGACGACGAAGATGATCTTGTTTGTCTTCTAGTAATGCCCGTGTAACTTCAGTCATGGCATCAAGAGGTTGAGGAATAGTTCGATAAACAATTAGCGGTTTTCATAAATAAAGCACGGGATTTCATCTTTGATAGTTAGGTGCAACTTTCTTCTTTAGATGACTTCTTCCAACGGTGCAACACACGCTCAAGCTTACGTTGGTGTCCTGTCACGGTCGCCAAAACGTCGCGAACTCATCAGTACATCTTATATTAAAAGCATTTTTTTTCAGAGAATGAGCGAATGCTCTGTCAGTTTAGTTGAGAGGAGTAATTAAATGGGAAACGGCATACACGGAAATTTAACTTAGACAGTTAGTTCTTCTTCGCTGCTCACAAAAATATTATAAAAGAAGCTTACATTTTGGAATTCTTAGAGAGCTCTTTGGGAATAGAAAACAGGAAAAGGGTATTATGCAAGAAATCCAATGCAAACTCTAAAAAAAACTGATATGGTTCAGTTTCCACGAAAAGAAATAGCAATGTGACAAAGGTGATAACTGATAATGCTATCAAATCTAGGAAAATACCCAAACATTTCTGCTTTTACTTGCTACTGCCAATATTCTAAACACACGCGACCTTTAGTCATTGTTTAAATACTTTTAAACAATGCTTTAGTTTATTGTGAGAAATAAACATTCCGCAATTGATATTTTCAGGGATAAACAGCATTTCGAACCTTAGTTTAGGTACTTTAGTATCCACATTAGCATATGTAATTCAGTGTGAGAGAATGCGAAATTTGATGTAGATAGGTGGCAAAGTAGACAACTCCTACCTTTCTTTATACAAAGAATACTTTACTCTTTGCTTTAGATAACTTTGACACATGCTACTCCAAATTTGATGCTGGAATCCGCACCGTAAATACAGATAACGATGGCACCTGTTTCTTGGTCAGCAAACCCAGAAGCAAGGATCACATTCAGACCATGAATTCAATGCATGGATATCCATTCTCGTGAATGGCTGATGGTGGCGATCGTGGTAGAGAAAGACAATTTACTTGTTTATAACTATTGTTTATAATTATTGTGCTTCTCTAAATCTGGGATAGAAGATGAATTATGTAACTAATCATTGATTTACTATCGTCGCAGAAGGCCGTGCAGGAATAACCATAATAAAAAAATTAATTATGATGTGTAGGTAAATAGATATAATATGTACTAATTATTGGTTTGGTTTAAATATGCTATGATCTTATGGGCGCAATATACTAGTTAAACTAAAAGCAAGACACGAATATGCATCATGCCAGAATACCGATTTATTTACGCCATTAGAAAAAACAGAAAAGCCTAATTATCCTACCAGACATACTGGATATAAGGAAAAGAAAAGTAATAGACTACAATTCTTGTGATAACTGTCGCTTGTAAAGCGCTGGAAGGAAATATTGTTTCTGGAAAATCTTTGAAAACACACATTTTTAGATATAATAATAATCAAGTTTTCCATAAAAAAATGTGTTTTTCAGAAATTTCTTATGAAATTTAATTTTCACTAATTTTTGTAAGTTTCATTAAACAATTAGGGGGATTGTCACCCATACATTTTTTATTTACTTTTCTTAACAGGAAAAAAATATTAAATTGAGATGCATTCAAAAAACTTTCTTTGGAAGTTACTTTTGTTTTCAAATAAAAACTTTTCCTGTTTGTTCGAATCTGAACTAATATCAAATAGCTTTATATTATAGACAGCTTTGATTATTTAGGTACACAAAGTTTTTTTGGATTAAATTCGAAAGTTCATCGGTTAATAGTACAATCAAATTAGCATCGAACCTTGAACTCCAAAAATAAAAAGGTCTGATTGCTGAAAGTTGTTCATCACCCTTAGCTCTAAATGTGGTAAAAAGTCTTCTTTGAAATAGCGTCGGGTTTAGGAGGGGGAGAGTGGGAAAGTTGTAAAATTAGCTCATTATTAAGTTTTTTGTAAATATCTCCGATACCGTTCCTTTTATACCAAAATGTGTAAAATACTTTTTTAAAGGAAATTTAATTTTACACAAAATGGATTATATGCATTTCTTTGCTCCTCCTAATAGTTTAGGAGCTGTAGAGTAAACAAGAGTTTAGTAAGGTAAGATGGGGTAAGTGTGAAGCAAAATTTTAATACTTCAGATAAATATAATATTTCTACAAAAACTATTTCAGTTCTAACTTTGACTCCATATCAGGGGTTACTTGTGAGGTGTAGACTGCATATATCTGAACTATGGTATCATAAACTATTTTTTAAGCACGTGTAATGACTTATTTTTTTCAAAAATGTCCCTATTGTACATGGGGCAAGTGTGTTTCCGTTTGATATTTTACTACCAAGTTAAATGGGTGTCAATGTGGGGCATGTGTGTAAAAACGCAGAGTTCTCTCAATAAGTGATTATTTTTCACATATTTTAAATGAACATTAAGGATACTACAAACTTTTTTAATATAATAAGTAACATTAGTAAACTAAGGAACTTTCTTAAAAATTTAAAACATAGCTCTGCAACAAAAATATAAACGTAAATATATAAGGTAGAAGTATTAAATTTTGGTCATTTATTGCACATTGTAGCTAACCCTCAAAATGGACGTCAAATCGAAGTACCAACAGTTGGTTTTGTTACATTATTTTGAATTGCACACCTTACAAGGCGTTCATCTACATGTGAAACATGTCAGTCATATATCAATAAAACGGGTCTTGCTTCACCAATATGCGAAAGAAACATTTTCTCGAAATACCGCAGAAAAATATCGGACTCCATCTACCCATTTGAAGTATAGGTTGGACCCGAAAAACCATCGCCGTTAGGCGCAACCAATTCGTCCCAAATATGCTTAGGTACCCTTAAATATGATTAAAGGGGGCGCCTTACCACGTCCTGCTGCATTAACAGTCATCAAAACTGTTGTTTCCCTTCCAACTCCCCCTGTTGTTCTAGATGATGCTACTCCTTTTTTTTCGACCACTTTGGTCTTGGACCAATTCATCCAGGTTCCAAATTTGATGTGGTTTATCATTCAGATCCAAGTCATGTAGAGTTTTTTGAAGTAACTCAAAATATTGATTAATTATAAATGGATGCATGCATTTTTTGCGAACATATTCTATGGATTGTGGTTTCTTTATTGACAAATTGTGTCTTTTACAGAACCCCAAGAACCAATCTTCTTGAGGCATTCCATTTTTAAATGGAATTTTGAGTTTATTTATGGTCACGAAATCTCCTACAATCCTCAATACTTCAGCTCTACGTAATCCCCATCCCCACTTTTCTAAAGTTTTTAGGCCTTCAGATAATTTTACTTCAAGTTCAAGTGAAAGATGAAGATCAGTTTCAGGTACCTACTATCAAATTTCTTATATTCTGACTGTAGATACTCATAGAGCTCCGAAAAACTCAAATTATGTTAGACTCAACTTGCAACTTCTTTCCCCAACACACTACAAAGAACCTAGAAGGTCGGAATAAGAAATAAAATTGCCTACTACATTTGGTAAGGGCGTTGCATTAGTTTTATTAAAAATTGCGACAAAGGGTTTGTCGGTTTCTTATATTTCAGGAGTCAATCTCAAGGTTCACTACCAAAACATACCATCACGCCATGTGACTCATTTTTTTATGAGAGAATTTCTACATTTGCTTTCCTGCCGAATTCAATGATATATAATTAATTGCAAACAACTACAGGATTTATGTCATCTCTTTTCACCATCATGGAATGCAAGAGAAAGCAGGAGTAGTTGAAATATAATTTCTATCCAATAATCTAATCATACCAAATTAATAAAAGCTTTACAATAAAATGTTATCCCATTAAATGATTAATTGGATTAATTATTTTTCACTATTTATTGGATTTATCTATATGTCTTGTAATTATACCAAGGCTGAACTAATCCATTAATTAATTTCGTTTAATGGTTAATCAGTAAGGCTTACATAAAGCACAAGAGCACCATGGGAAATTGGTAGCAGAATTATTCGCGCGATTGGTAAACTGAGAAGAATCGAATATTATCTACCTAATAACCAGCAAAAGAAACACTTTCTATATCTGCCTAAAGTGAAAACCCAAAGTAACGTAGAAAGTAACCATAGAAGAACAAGGTTGCAACCCTTTTTCAGTAGCTTTAATCAGACAAGTGTAGTTTTTTTGTTTTTTGGGATATTTCTAAAGCCGAATACTTCGTCCATATGGAAACAGAGCCATTAAGACAGCGAACCCTCAATTCTATGTCCAAATTGACAGTCACATTTTGCAAAAACTTCATTCGTTAACAAAAATCCCTTTCGGCTCGGCCGATCAGGTGTAGGTAGATTTCTTTCCGCCATCTTGTTCCAATATGGTCCAAATCGGTTCATAATTACGAAAGTTAGAGTGTTTCTTGGAAGTGATATATTATATAAACCTATAAATATACAGGTACCATTACATTAGGTAGAAATCTACTTAAAATGATTGGTGTCCTAATTTTATATTCAAAGTTGGTGTCTATAGCGGCCAAAAGGAATTTCGATGGTCGTACTCTGTTAACATGAAGGTCCAAAGTCCCATGAAAAATAATATTCAAATAAGAGCGATATGCTAATCTCATTGAAGTACGACTGCAATATAAAGCCTTGCATGCTTTTATTATTTGCAAAACGTTTTCGATGATTACAGGTCAACTTAAGGTTGCGTTCGCATTTGCATGCAAATTTTGTGTTTAAGTTCTCCAAAATCTTGTAGAAAAACAGGTCGTAACACTTTTGCTAGAATCACATCATCCCGTGTCGTAGCAAATTTTTGAAATTTCCATAACTTTAACAATACCTGGCGAAATGGTGGTTTTTGATAACAACATGGTGTCTGCGATAATTAATGCTTTATGATGTTTTAATAATAATAGTAAAAATTAAAAATGTCCACAGAGAAGGTTACACATAAACTAGATTTTCCCCCGCGACTTCGTACGCTGGATATTGACGGAAATATGATCATGGAAACCCACTGTACAGAATGTAAAAATGTAAACACTTCAGCACGGTATCGATCGGTACGGAAAATACCAGAGTGTGACATCAACGAAAAAAGAAGTTGAAAAAAAATCATATAATCCCATTGGGCCGAATTAAAATGTAAATGTAACAATCCGGGGACACCCAAAGACACATCAAAAATTTCTTCGTCCAGCCGTTTATCAGGAATTCAGTCACAGACACACGTACAAAAGAATTTTATATACAGAGTCGTTGATAAGTCTGGAAACGGTCGATTATCGGGGAAAATATACAAGATATCGAAAAAAGTGTTGGGGTTTTTGAATGTCTACTAGGCAGAATTAATTTTAATTATACATGGTTGATCATAAAGGCGGAAACACCAAAAGGAGCATGATGTATCTTAATTATGAAATAATTAAGTATTAAATAATGCTCAAAACGAGATTCTGTAGGTAATTCATCAAGGTACCTTAGAAACGTGACACATTCATTTAGTGGTAACAGTTTTCGTACAAAATGACAGGTTTTTTTCAAAATAATCGCGTTTACTTTTAAAACTAGATAACCGGAAAACGATTGCACTAGGTACATTATGCTTCTTGCAAATTTTGCTTAAAATTGAGAGAAGTGCAGCACAGGGTGGTCCATTTAAAAATATGCAATTTTTAATAAAAACTATTAATGCCTAGTAGAAATTGAAGAACCCCAAAACTACTGTAGAAAACTTTCTCGATATATTGTATATTATCCGCGATAATCGACCGTTTTCAGACTTACATTTACTGTCATTAAATGAGAGTAGATAAATCAGAATTTTGAAGTTTGTTTGGAAGGCACCCCTAAACGGTGTGCATCATGGTCGTACATCCCCGTTTCGGGTTTATCGACGTTATTCCACCATTGAGTTTCGCCGCTTGCGAAAAGTACAAAGATGATGTTGGTTACGGTAAATACTCCTAGAGTAATCCAAAACACTAGTTGCCACTGTTCCAAAGTGTGCTGAAAAGAGTAGGTTAAGGCTGAACACACAGCTTGAGCCTTACGTTGGCGGTGAGTGCGCCGATTAGATATGGGGTGATGATGCCACTGACGGCGCCGATTCCGTTTACAATTGCCATAAGAGTGCCCGCGAAGTTGGGAGATAAATCCAAAGCGTTAACTTTCATTCCGCAGTATACAGTGCCCATTAGTCCCATGGCAATGGTGAAAAGCGCAACGGCTAAATATCGATCGCAGCCACTGTAACTGGCGCCCACTATAAAAACGGCTGGTCCCATGGATGCTGTAACAAGTTTACGTTATTGAATGTCACTGGGAAAAGCGAAGTCGTATTACCGACTGTTGTGAAGAATTTACGAGCGAACGTGATGCCCATATATTCCTTTTTAATTATCCAATCGCATAGCCAACCCGACCCAAGAGAAACGATCCACATGAGCACATACGGAAGCGATGACCAAAGCCCATTTTCGTCAATTTTAAATTTGAGAATGTCCTTCATGTATTTGGGTAAATCGGTGACCATAGCGTAGAAACCCCAATCTTGCCCGATTTGTACGGCGATTAGCGCCCAAAGCGGGGCTGATGTCAAAATCGCCTTCCAAGGGATCGGATTGTTTTCATTCGAAACACTCGCTAGTTCTTTGCGAAGGAAGTTTTTTTCCTTATCACTGATGAAGGGATGCGATTCGGGATCTGAGTAGCACATCAGCGTCCATATCACAAACCAAACTACTCCCAATCCACCGAAAAAATAAAAGACGGAACCCCAATCTTGAGTATGTTTGATCAGAATGCCACTCAGCGACGTTCCTAAGAATATTCCGAGTAAACCGCCTGCGAACGTCAAGCTACCCAAACGCGATCGCTCACTGAGAGGTACCCATTTTGCTAGCAAAGCGTTTATGGCCGGAAATGTGGTGCCCTGCAATCGTTTTGGTCAGTAAACTCTCCGAGAGAATCTGTCACTTACCTCGCCCAAACCGACACACACTCGCAAGGCACACAACCACCGCCAATCACCATCAACCAGCCTTATCACGGCGGGGGTTATCAATGTGAAGACTGCCGTAGACAAAATACCGATACCCAAAGAGTATTTGCCGCCAAACTTCTCCGCCAAAATACCCCCCGGCATGTGCGTAATAATATACCCCCAGAAGAAAGAGCTCAGTATCAGTCCTTGCGTTGTCTCATCCCAGTCGTACAAATCTTCCGGATTCTACAACAGCGAGTTATTAGAAAGAGAAACAAGACATTCAAATGATCACCTTTATAATTGGCCCATCACCCTGGCCATCGCCCTCTAGTGGACAACCATGATCCCCCGATGATGTACTGTTCCTGGGTATTACCATCTCTGTAATTGCTATGGACAACGTCGTTCTCATGGTGTACGCGTTTAAAATCGCCAAAAATCCCATAATCGCCACGATGTACCGATGCGGAATTATAAAACCTGAAAGAAAACCAAATAAATAGGTGCCGTGTCACGCCAATTAATCTAGACAAAATAGCAGATTAATTAGTGGTTGAGCATATCAGCCTAATTGTTTTAGGTAATGCCTCGAAAATCAAATTTGCACTTTTTCGCAGGTTGCTACTTACATTTCGAGAGATGCAATCTCCAACCGGTTAACATTTTAAGAGTAATCACCGAAAAACCTCACACCCGATTAGAACTTTTCAAATACTGAATTGAACCGTGACTATTGGATTTATTATGCAAGTAATAGGTAATCAGGTGTCTGATTCCTAATATCGTATTTGCTCAAAATTTTGCCCCACTTTTAAATTGATAACGCAAAGGAAGAATGAGAAAAACCTTATAGGAGGTCAATAATTAGGTCTTCATTCACAGAACAAAATATTCATTATCTCTTCATTGATTCAAGCTAGGTAGGTACATATTTATCGAATTTGGGTTTTAACTGTAATAACCTCGGTAATAACTTTATAGTAAGTAAGTAGTAAGTAAATAAGATCGTCGACATTATGTTATTTTTAATTTAGACCCTCCAAAAATCAAATGTTTTGGAACTTTTGGAAAAGGGGTTTTGTAAACATAGGGTTCCCCTTATAGTACAAAGTCACATGATTTGTGGATCTTTGTTGTAAAAGAATTTACATCTATCAATAAATGATATATTTATTTATGGAACTGCAACATTCTTAGTTCAAGGTAACATAAAATCTGTGGACGTATAAGTTGATTTTGAGTCGATTCCAAATTGGTCATTGTAGGTAGGTACATATCTATCGGTACTACAGACAGGGTGTACTATACTGCTGCTATTGAAATTCGTGATCATTGTCCATTAATTTCACCAACAATAAACTGCACCAATACAGATATCGAGCGAAAAGGTAATTTCCGATTGACAAATATTAACCAAAATTGAATCAGTTAGTCCTCTGTCTGTCTACCTATTACTAAAGTTTAATCGCTCGTTAATAAACTAATATAGCAAACGAGCTCTTGGGTCATTGAACATATAATCAGTTCTTCCTTGGGTGATGATAAACAAAATCCTGAAAACAGAATTGTCCACAGACGGACGGACAGAAAGTCCAAAATCATAAAGTCGCTAGGCTAGGAGCTCGTTAATAATCGACTGTTTAGTCATAGTTTAAGGTTCGTAACATGGATAAATCGTATAATAATCAGAAAGTAACAACAAGAAAATTTACACACATTCATCCATAAGACTATTTATATCCGCTCAAAGTTATAATGCTATCGTTCATTGATTTGATGTATACTTACTTTTTGAGTAATATCCGGTTTCGTTCAGTGTTAATTTTCGATTATTTAGTCACGATTTCCTTGCACCGTGTCGGGGTTAAGCAAATCTTGAACTTCGGCCTTTCGTATACCTATGTCCAAATCTAATATAGCCTCCACCTCCACCCCTTATTCAAATACTTTAGAATGTATTCGAATACTTTCAAAAGTATTCGAATACTTTCAAAGGTATTCGAATACTTTCCAAAGTATTCGAATACATTCTAAAGTATTTGAATACTTATGTTTTTAAGTATGAATACTTATTTTTTTAAGTATCTGAATACTTTTCAATGTATCTGTATTCGCTTGTGCTAGACGTAAAAGTATTTAGTATTCAAATACCTTTGAAAAGTATTCGAATACAGTAAAAGGTATTCAAGTACTTGTCACTCAAATACATTAAAAATTTAAAATAGTATACTAGATAAAAAATCATGTTATACTTTGTATGGGGTTAGCTTTTTTTATGTTTCTATTGTTATATACAAATTTAAGGGGAGTAAAAGCGTATTATTATTATTATATTATTATATAGGAGGTACCTACCAGGACCTTTCTTATACCAGTTATATCCTTAAGAATACGTGTACCAGTTTTCAAAGCGTCGTACACATGATACGTACGCCTTTCTGAAATTAATCCTAGCGATTTTGGAACAGATCCATTTTTGACCATCCGTTTGTCCGTGTGCATGATAACTTGTTTAGAAACGTGCGATCGCTTTGAAAATTGGTACAAATGGTTTTAAGGATATAAGAAAGGTCCCTATTGTTTTTAAGTTACGTAGACTATCGAGTCCAAAAGTTTCACTCCAGGATCGTTTCGGTATTCAGTTGTATCGGATTTTTTATTTGAGTTTGTGACAATGGAAACTTTCCCTAAACATTTCTAAATTGTTCTCAAATATTTGAATAACTTAAAAGTATTGCCTTTTAGTAGGTATGAATACAATGTTAAAAACCCAAGTGAGTTACCAGGGCTGTTAAAGTTTGGCCGCCCATCGAATATTGTTTATTGGGGTCCTCTAATCAAATTTGGAAGGGAGGCCGGTGGATCCACCGGTAACTTCCGGTTTGATGACGTCATAAAGTTCGCGATTTCGCTAATTCGGAAAAATGCTTCTATCTCAGTAACCACTTGTCTGATTTTCATGATCTTGGGCTCATTGGAAAGATATTAAAATAAGACAGAACTTTTATGAGAAGTGCAAATCCCGTTCCGCGAACGGTTTTCGCGAAATTTGCTAAAATTTGAAAAATTTACGAATTATTTTTTTTCACAGGTAAAACGTTATTAATATTTGTAACTTACGCAAAACATGATTATTACCTGCTTCTTTCTCTTTTAAACCAATTCCCATTCACGTTCGGGATTTAAAAAGATTACCAACATCCCTTCTTCTCAATTTATTGCTGGCAACTTTGTCGTAAACAGATCAAGAAGCCAATTTTCAAGCATTGCTATCGATCAGAGTCACGAACAACTAAACAAGATAATTAAGGGAAGTGGAGGCCTAATTGGTTTGACCCAAGATCCCATATCAATGATGAACTGGTCATGGTACAGTCACGCTGTGAGTAAAAGAGTCGCAGACTTCAAAATAGCCTCAAACGCGCAAGAAGATGTTGACTACGACCTCTTTCACTACGATGAAGGTCTGAAGAATCAAAATGACTTTCTTACTGATGTAAAGTCTATGACTGATGCTATGCTACTGAGCATGGAAATCCATTCGCCGAGCTTGGAAGCAAACTCAGCAATCTCGAAGGTGCAATAAGGGAAGATAGGCAATCCGTAGCAAAAAGTGGGATGAGTCGCAATACAGAACTTATGTAAAGGAGGTCATCATCGATAGGAGTAAAGCAAATGATGTTCCTATAAAAAAAATAACTTGGAACATCAAGCGCCACAGCGGAAGAGAACACAGCCACAAAAAATTGGAATGTGCGTCTGTTCTAGGCAAGATGTACGTAGCCACACAGTTAAAGAAAGGATGCAGCGATGAGTTTTTCGCACATGAAGTGCAAGAATTTACCCCTTCCCTAGTTCTTCTGAAAAAATGTACCGCTAAAGAAGTCAGATATTCTAGGTTGCCCACATAAAGAGGTTATTGCTATACAGCCCCCGATGATGTGACAGATCTTCCTTCTGTGTATGATGCAGTTATTGTAGATGGAGGTGCTCTCATTCACTCTGCTTCCTCGGGGTGCTTCAAGTTTTGAGGAATACCGTTACAGATGCTTTTTTAAATACATTGACAACGAACTGAGGAAAGCAAGCGGACTACACATAGTGTGGGACTCATACTAGGAATATTCTATTAAAGGAGAAACAAGAAACGACCATGGCAGCGGTGTTCGACTGAAGATTGGCCCAAATGTTCGAATTCCGAAGTGTTGGTCTACATGTCTATGCCTTCAAAATTGAGTTGTTTAAGTATTTAAACGAAATAGCGATTTCAAGCTTTCAGCTTCCGAATTGTGGTCTATACATCACACATGGCGAATTTGTCGGTAGGTCGGACCTGGGAAAGAGATGCTGGATACGATTGACTACGAGGATGCTGATACGAAAATCGTCTTGCATCTGATACATGTATTGACCGAGGGAGAACAAAAAAATTCCTCGTACGAACGTGTGATGCCGATGTCGTAGTTATTTTGGTTCACATTTTTTACGCTTCGACGGTATACCTATCTGAAAAATCTTCATTGATATTGATATTGACAGGCGATGATTCCACTTTTAGGAAGACCATTTACATTTACGGTACTTGAGGTAGAGTCTGCCGAATTTACGGCGTTGGAATCACTTTGTATAAAGATCTATGGACGTGGAGCGAATACAACTAATGAACTACGGAAATTAATGCCTATTTTACCATCGAAACCAGAAATGATTCCTCCGACCAAAAATGCACTACTTCTACACTGCAAACGAGCAATCTATTAGGCAAGCATTTGGGTATCGGTTTTCAAAGCAGTAATTAGCGCACCAGATCCAGATGCACTTGAACATGGCTGGCAAAAGAAAGATCGAAGGCTTCTTCCCATATAAACAACAAACCCCAAGCAATCAAATTTTTACTTTTTGGACTAGTCCGAAAAGTACTTACCTACTTTTTAGACAGTTACCATGGTTATACCGACGACTCCCGAAATCGCCCATTTTCTGTACCAAAAAGTGTGACAAAATAGCGTCTTATTCAGGTGGTTGGAGAAAAAAATATTACCTACACTGTTGTGATACAATAGGATAAGAGAATAATGGACCTATGAGATACAATTTACTATTTGGACAGAACTTATTGTTTCAATATTTCTAACCTACATTAATATTTCCTTATTACTGTATTTTCTTGCATATTATTTTATTAGCAGTCCATTTTTTAAACATTATACACGTAAAATATGGGTCTCCTAGAAACTATAAAAACGGATTACACCTCGGTAAGTATAATGGAAGCAATTTTTATTGGGCGGGATTATTAGGTTTAAAAGGGAAAGAAACAAATTCCAAAAATGTTTCTTGTGATTTACAAGTATTCAAATAAAAAAGAATTTTTTTTCAAATTTTGCGAAAAACCGTAGGTGAAACAGGTTATAAAAATGTTTATTCGTAAGTTATAAGTTTTAATAACGTTTTACCTGTGTCATAAAGAAAAAAATAATTCGCGAATTTTTCAAATTTTGGCAAATTTCGCGAAAACCGTTCGCGAAACGCGATTTGCATTTCTCATAAAAGTTCTGTCTAATTTTAATATCTTTCCAATGAGCCCAAGATCATGAAAATCAGACAAGTGGTTACTGAGATAGAAGCATTTTTCCGAATTAGCGAAATTGCGCACTTTATGACGTCATCAAACCGGAAGTTACCGGTGGATACACCGGCCTCCCTTCCAAATTTGATTAGAGGACCCCAATAAACAATATTCGATGGGCGGCCAAACTTTAACAGTCATGGTAACTCACTAGTGCATATTCATACCTACTATTTCTTTGAGGCCGGAAAAAAAATTGTCTGAGATCGACCGGGAAAAAACATTTTCTTGTAGAATTTGGCCCGTAGAATCCATAATTTCAAACAGTTTGAAGATTGGGCTACTAAGTAAGTTACAGCCCTATGAATTTTTTTCGAAATTTGTTTTTTGTCCATAACTTTATATTGAGAGGTCTAATCGAAAAAGTATGAATTGTTTTGGATTCTATCTCGGATTAATAAGAAAAAGTGTTTTCCCGAGAAATTTCGGTGTAGTCGATTTTTGGTAAAAAAGGAAGGTTATACATCGCCTTTTTTTGAGGCACGAAAGAAAATTGTCTCAGATCGACCGGGAAAAAAATTTTCTTACAGAATGTGGCCTGTAGAATCCATAATTTCAAACAGTTCCAACATTGGGCTACTAGTTCAAAAGTTACAGCCATTTGAATTTTTTTTCGAAATTGGTTTCTAGTCTATAACTTTTGATTGAGAAGTCTGATCGAAAAAGTACGAATTGTTTTGGATTCTACGCACCAAAGTTAATAAGAAAAAATGTTTTCCCGAGAAATTTTGGTGTAGTCGATTTTTGGTAAAAAAAAGGAAGATACTGCCTTTTTTGTGGCCCGAAAAAAAATTGTCTCAGATCGGCCCGGAAAAAACATTTTCTTATAGAATGTGGCCTATAGAATCCATAATTTCAAACAGTTCTAAGATTGGGCTACTAGTTCAAAAGTTACAGCCCTTTGAATTTTCTTTCGAAATTGGTTTCTTTTCTAGTCCATAACTTTTTATTGAGAAGTCTGATCAAAAAAGTACGAATTGTTTTGGATTCTACGCACCAAACTTAATAAGAAAAAGTGTTTTCCCGAGAAATTTTGGAAAATCAAAGTATTTAAATACTTACCTTGCGAAGTATTCGAATACTTTGCGAAGTATTGGAATACTAAATATTTGTGAAAGTATTTGAGTTACAAATACAAATACAGCTTCCATAAAAGTATTTAATTACAAAGTATTTGAATACTTTAAAGGATTTGAATACTAAAAAGTATTTACAAAATCGAATACTGCCCAGCTCTGACAACTAGGCATACCGTTCTGATTTTCATTGTAATACATGGTGGCGTGTTGACCTTTCAATTTCTGTAAAACTTTCAGTGTTTTAATCGAAGAAAATGTGGTGGTTTTTCTGGTGGTAGTAGAGAAAGCTATCCTCGTTCACATGGATGCGTAGATCTTCATTTACCTACACGTATATAACGCTTTAATATGACTCTGAATTATGCTTGTCTAAATCTGAGAAAATGTGTAATTAATCATTGATTTAATATCGCCGCAGAAGGTCGTACAGGAATATCCGTAATAAATAAAGTAGGTAATTATGTGGTACTAATTATTGCTTTGGTTTAAATATGCTCTTATGGGCGTGATATCCTAGTTCCATTAAAAGCAAGACACGGATACGCATCCTGCAGGAAAGGAAAAAGGGACTATCCTACCCGGCATACGGATATAAGCAAACGATGGGCTACTACTAATCATTTTCGTGATAACCGTCGCTTGTAAAACACTTGCCAGAAATTCTTTTTTCTGGAAAATCTGTGCAAAAGTTGCCATTTTCACAAAGTTCTTATGAAATTTTCCTCGGCGTCGGTACGTAGGTTCCCATTTAGCACTATAATTTTTGTAAGTTTCATGCGAGGATTGTCACCTAAGTATATGTTTTTTGTTTTACTTTTTCTAACTAGAGGATTGTTTCAAAAATCTTTCTTTGCCAGTTCCTTTTGTTTCCAAATAAAAGTTTTGAATCTACAGGTTCATTAGTGCATTTCGTAAATAAAAACCTATACGCTCTATGCACGGTACCCGGAAAATATGGGAGAATTCTACATTTGCTTTCCTACCGAAATTGCAAACGACTGCAGGATTTATTTCATCTATTTTTAACCACAATGGAATGTAAGATATTCCTTGATAAGATTTAATTAATAATAACGGACTTATAATGGTAACTTTTACCTCATACCACGAAGCTATTTCCATCAATAAATATTATACAAATTAGCAAGCTTTAATTAATTGTAGTTATTCCATAAAATGATTCACTGGATTAATAATTCGTTATACTCGTATGAATTTGATCTAATTTGTGTGTCATATTCCTTCTCCGCTACCTTTGCTCAGTGAAATATCAAGTGGTCTTTTATATGGAACACCCTGATATGATTTGACAGCTTATTAAATTCTCTACAAACGTAACCAAAATACAAATTTTCTATTTTCCAGGAAATTTGTTCGATAGGTATACTCTTGCACGATTAAGGCGGTGTGCGCGGGTGCACCATCTTGTTGAAACCAACAGTTTCCAATTTTTGTTTCTTCTATATTAAAAATCCCTCAAAGTTGCCTTGTGCAGCTCAAAAAGTGGCAATGAGAAAGTATTTTTTTATTTTTCAGACAAAAAACAACAAAATCGGGAAATTTCGGTTTTTCTGGCATATAATCGAAATTTTCTGGTTTTCCTTACATAGCGAGATAATAACTGTTCAATCAATCACTTTTACCTCATTTTACCATCGTGGTATCTTCTATGGTTTCCGAGGTCTCCATCGATAGACATCCTTATCTTGGTTCGGACATAGTGCATACTGTCAATGATCTAGAAAGAATTTTCAGAAATTTATCAATGAAAAAAGATAATGTTTTTGTTTATCCCTTTTTGAACAAGTTGTTTTTCATCCGAGTTTTGCAAACTTTTTGATTGTTTCGTTTGCATGGGTCCGAAAACAATGTGTTATCAATCCTTCAAATCGTTAAGATGTTTAACCTAATTTTGGTTATTTAAATAATTATTTATCTCCTTAATGGCCGCGTTTGGGCAATTATCGTTATTGTAACACCGAAAAACCTTCCTCGATATAATTAACACACGTGTAAGTTTGACAAAATTCAATGATAGATAAGTAGATAGTGGCCACTCTTTGTAATGCGCCGGTATAAAAATGTGGCACGACGCCGTATATCTTTCGTTTCAAGAACGAGGCGTTATTTTGACATTGTTGTTGTTTTAGTAAAATTGTGGTATATTTAACATTGTGCATTATCGCAAATTGATAATGTTAAAAGGAACTATACTATTGAAAATCACTTCTGTGTCTCTTAGGAAAAGCTTCTGCCTCTTTGTTTACTGAATTGAGGGAGTTCTTGATCAAGAGGAGGTAGGTATTGTGGTTAATGGTCTTTGGGTGTTGATTTTGATCGGTTCTGGCTTTTTGATCTATGGATTATTAATATTGATACTTTTCTGTTTCTGTCCCTTGAAATTGCATTCAAGACTGTCACTCTGGCCCGAGGGAGTATATTTTTGTGCCGTGGTTGAAAAAAGTGTTGCAATATGAGAGTTAAACCTCTCATACCATGTTAAATGTGGATTTTTTTAAACTGGTACGATAATACTACATAAGGTTAATATTGGCTGTAAAGATGAGCTTATCAAGGTTAAAAAGTCACACTAAGTCGAGTAACACAAATGTTTAACAAAAACATACTCGTTATATATAATAAATTTTTGATTTTATAACAAATGCGCACTTAAAAAATTAGATTTTGATGCTATTATAGTAATTACAATAATAATATTTAATTTAACATAATTCCCCATTTAATTGCCTAAATACGAATTCGAGTGTACGAAATTATAACATTCTGTTTGTTCCAGCAATTGTAAAATACAATATGGACGCTATTAGCAGTTATAACAAATATAAAAATCCGCGAAACGTGCCTAATTAATTTGGATGTCAAGGCTTGTAAAGTACGTAACGAAATTTTTCCCTCATGGCAAGGATAAGGCAGTCGAAGATCTTCGTGAGCGGTCCTCTGCTTCAATAATTGAGCTCAGATAACTCCTCAAGCTCATAGCGCCTAGAGGGTTCAGGTTTTCTGCAGCAATCGTGAGTAAAGGGACCTAGGAAAAAAAAGGAATTCTGTTTTGCTGTTTAATCATCACTCATATGTTCATGGCATTTTCAAAATTCTTTTGTTTAACCGATATTCAACCTTGAACGCATCAAAACATAATTAAATTCAAAATTGCTCCTTTACTCATCCGCATCGTAACATTTTTATGTTCCGTTAAACGTAATTACCTGAATTACAAAGTTTCTTAACTTGTTCTAGCTAATCTATGAATGTTAATTGAAATTTTTTCCCCTTACACACTCGCGCTATCATTACAATCGATAGCGTCTCGTAGTACAACAATATAAGTACGTTCACTCATACGTGTACCTACTCAACATTGATAATGGAAAAAATTGGTTAACCTCGTTACTCCAACCTGATAGTAAAATAATTACTTACGCAATTTAAGCATAATTCATCCTAATTGTGTACGTATTAAGGGAGAAAAAAAACCCGTTGGAGACTAGGAAAAAAGTAATGACCGATTCTGCAAAGACACTTAAAAAATTCCTCGGCTAATTCTAGTCGTTTGTTTAAAACATTACGTTAGTGTATTTACAATTATTTCAATTTTAATGTAAAACCCCGACGTCATGTTGGTACTCTAAATTAGAATCGTGCTCATAATTTAGAAAGGAATGCGCGTTCACTTTAAAGACACCGACAATGGGCAGGGGCTCATCTATAGGTATTTACGGCTGATCAAAATTGCATAACAATACCATCGGTGGCCCTAAGTACACAGAGTTATCTTTTTTATAGATTGATAATCTAAACAAATTTAGCTAACTCACGCCGATTAGGTACCTATTGGAAAAATACGCTCTAGAAGTGCCTTTTTCTGGACGAAGGACGCACACGGTTTTTTATTTGTTTATAGAGCAATATCAAATGTAAATATTGTTCTTGATCGAGATTTTGTTTGCATTTCAAATCAGAGCGTTAAGTTATTTACTATTTATTGCGGAAAAAATACCGTATCTAGGTAACGGTGGAAAAACAACCACTTAAGTGCGCTGTTGGTTACCTTTATCTCAGAGACGATGCTTCAAACCGATTTCCAAAAAAATTCCATGATACCTGCTGCAACGGACCATGCGCTGCAAATAATTCGTTGACAATTTCCTTTGTTTTCTTATAAAATGGGAAATTGCAACCAGAAAACTGGATCATAACCAAAATTATTATTATTATTATCTTACGATTTCCCTTCTTGGGGATCTTAACTATAACAGTTATAGCGAACACAGACGGACGGGCGGAATATGGAGGAATATGGTAATATCCCTTGGCGTATACCCAGAGCTGGGCAGAATACTTTCAAAAAGTATTTGAATACTAAATAGTAAATACTTTACACAAATCAATACTAAATACTTTTACGGCCAGCACAAGCGAATACTAGATACAGATACATTGAAAAGTATTCAAATACTTAAAAAAATAAGTATTCAAATACTTTAGAATGTATTCGAATACTTTCAAAGGTATTCGAATACTTTCAAAAGTATTCTAATACTATCAAAGGTATTCGAATACTATAAAAAGTATTCGAATACTTTGAAAAGTATTTCATTATCTTACTTTGAAAAGTATTCGAATACAGTAAAAAGTATTCAAATACTTGTCACTCAAATATATTAAAAATTTAAAATAGTATACTAGATAAAAGGCTTAATACTACTTAAAAAATCAAGTTATACTTTGTATGGGGTTAACTGTTTTTATATTTCTATTGTTATATACAAATTTAAGGGGAGGAATAGCGTATTATTATTATTATATTATTATATAGGAGGTACCTACCAGGACCTTTCTTATACCATGTTATATCCTTAAGAATACGTGTACCAGTTTTAAAAGCGATCGTACGTCGTGCACATGATACGTACGCCTTTCTGAAATTAATCCTAGCGATTTTGGAACAGATCCATTTTTGACCATCCGTTTGTCCGTGTGCATGATAACTTGTTTAGAAACGTGCGATCGCTTTGAAAATTGGTACACATGGTCTTAAGGATATAAGAAAGGTCCCTATTGCTTTTAAGTTACGTAGACTATCGAGTTCGGTATTCAGATGTATCTCGATTTTTATATTTGATTTTGTGACAATGGAAACTTTCCCTAAACATTTCTAAATTGTTCTCAAATATTTGAATAGGTTTTTTTGAAGCCGGAAAAAAAATTGTCTGAGATCGACCGGGAAAAAACATTTTCCTATAGTATTTTGGCCCGTAGAATCCATAATTTCAAACAGTTTGAGGATTGGGCTACTAAATCAAAAGTTACAGCCCTTTAAATTTTTTTTCGAAATTTGTTTCTAGTCTGTAACTTTTGATTGAGAAGTCTGATCGAAAAAGTACGAATTGTTTTGGATTCTACGCACCAAAATTAGTAAGAAAAAGTGTTTTCCCGAGAAATTCTGGTGTAGTCGATTTTTCGTAAAAAAGGAAGGTTATACACTGCCTTTTTTTGAGCCCCGAAAAAAAAATTGTCTCAGATCAACCCGGAAAAAAATTTTCTTATAGAATGTGGCCTGTAGAATTCATAATTTCAAACAGTTCCAAGATTGGGCTACTAGTTCAAAAGTTACAGCCCTTTGAATTTTTTTTCGAAATTTGTTTCTAATCTGTAACTTTTGATTGAGAAGTCTGATCGAAAAAGTACAAATTGTTTTGGATTCTACGCACCAAAATTAATAAGAAAAAGTGTTTTCCCGAGAAATTTTGGTGCAGTCGATTTTTGGTAAAAAAGGAAGGTTTTAATATTATTTTAAATAATAAAATTAATAATTTTTTATTTTTATATACACACACTGCCTTTTTCTGAGGCCAGAAGAAAAAATTGTCTCAGATCGACCGGGAAAAAAAATTTTCTTATAGAATGTGGTCTGTAGAATTCATAATTTCAAATAGTTCCAAGATTGGGCTACTAGTTCAAAAGTTACAGCCCTTTGAATTTTCTTTCGAAATTGATTTCTAGTCTATAACTTTTGATTGAGAAGCCTGATCGAAAAAGTACGAATTGTTTTGGATTCTACGCACCAAAATTAATAAGAAAAAGTGTTTTCCCGAGAAATATGTGTTGAAAAATTAATACGAAAAGAAAAGCAACTATTCCTATTGTTTAAACTGGTACTCTTATACTTTTCAAAATAAATTACATAAACGAAGCGTACTTTATTGACTTGTACGTGTCCATTAATTGTGCTTATTTTTACATCTTTATTGCACACCGTAAACTTTAAAATGAACGTGTACATGTACATGCCAAACAGAAGGACAACAAGTACTCGTTACGGCTACGTAAATGAGGATTACGTGCGGTAAATACTACTCTTGCCATCTATAGGAACTAATATTTTATTTAAACTAGCGCGAGACTGCGCCTGTTCGTATTGCGGGGAAATGTTCTAATTACAGGATTCATGTTTGGCATTTTGGCATAAAACTGAGTTCCTCTCATCGATAATCGTAAATGATCATACTCTTCATGGGATCAGTGTTTTGCCTTTTTTCCGACGAAATCGATGAAAAAAACCGGAGGCATAAAATTTAGTCCCGCCACTCAAATGTTTTTGTCATTTTCCCAGCGAAATTTGAGTAAATGAAGACTAGCGAGCTCAATCTACCTTTGAGCAAAAACATGCGTGTTGTACACACATCTTCTTGTGAGTTTGATCTTGTTCTTAACAAAATTGGTGCCTAAATAACAATTTAGGCGGAAATGGGCGACTATATTTTTATTAAAAAAATCAACTTGAGCAGTTACGTGATTTACTGATGTTACTGTGTGATATGAGCGTTGTGCAGATAACAAGTTTATCGGTGATAATAATTAAATGTTCTTATCTTCCATGTCGAGAGGCGACTTATACATACTTTATGTTGCACCTATCTTATCACTGAAATGATCTCGAGATAAGTATAAAAACTGAGTCGTACCGCCTTTGGTGGTTTATTAACAAAAATCTCATGTTCGAAATTCTTTCTGTCTTTTCCATTCGAAAATGTACTCTTTGACATCGAGCGAAGTATGTTTTAATACAGAAGAACATTGGTACCGCCAATCACTACCTACCCCTAAAAAGAGTCTGATTCGGCGGAACTTTGAGTACAACGTTGTATCAAATCTTTGACCATTATTGCTACAACGTTCACCGATACCTACTGACCATACTCCCCCGACTTACCTAACAACCACTTTTCAAATTGGTTGCAACTGCCACTGATCCCTACCATGAATTTGCAAATTAAAGGTTTTTCTAAAATATTCTAAATCGGAAAATAACCAGGTATCCGATATAATCAAAACGGACGATATGAGGGACGTTGTAACTAGAGTAAGAGGCGGTAGGCATTGTGAATAGTGGACGTTGCGTTCAGGTTCCCAGGATCGCCTTTGATGCCTTCACGTAACCTGAGTTCTTTTTAATCCTTGGATTTACTCACTAGAGATTTTAAAAAAAACCATAAAGAGCGTTTAAAAAAGCAGCAGTGCACCTCGGTGTGATCCCACGGAGTCATTGGATTTGACCCATTTTCAATAGGCTTATTACATGTGGCATATAGGCCAACTGTGCAAAGTTTGAATTAAATAGGTTCAAGCGTTTGGCAGAGACAGAGAAGCGTGGCCCCAAGGGGTCATTGGATTTGACCCATTTTCAATAATCTTATTACTTGTGGCATATAGGTCAACTGGTCAAAGTTTGAACCAAATCGATCCAAGCGTTTGATAGTTATCGTGTTCGCACGGACAGACGGACACCATCGACTCCCCTATAAAGCTTGCATCGCTTTGCTCTGCCTCTTAATAAATAGAAATTATATGTTGTTGGGGCAACCATGTGAGAACGAAAGATTTCCATCACCATTATCAGTTGAATAATGTCCTAAAACGGGAAATGTTGGTCTGGGAAATACGTATAAAGTCGTTTAAAAAATTAGCTAATTTTAAACAAATTTTACGTCCAAGCAAAGAGTATATAACGTTGTATACTCTTTGGTCCAAATAATAGGTGACAAAACATACATAAACCTAACTGCTGATAAAAAGGTGAGAATTGTATAGCAATGTTATATGACAACAAGGATTCACCAATGCTACAAGTAGATTTCTGAAAAAAAAACACCTAGCAATATTACCATAAAGCATAAACCATTTTCTAAAATCAACATAATAAATAAAATAAAATAATACAAAAAACACTTTATTACACGACTTTATTAGACAGGTTTTTTGTTAAAATATTCCTATTACCTAATACCAACTATTTAAGTAACCTTTCGAAATTAAAACTGGTGTTGGCAGGATGATGGTCTTTCTCCAAGCCTATTTAACTTAGCTTAAATGGACTAACCAACGTAAAGAGTTTCAAATTCTAGAATCTATTAATATTGGAACCGAAAATAATAGTATCATGTAGCTTTTGCAGATTAATATACCTAGTATCTAATTTAAAATGGAAATTCCTTTTAGAACATCCTCAAATACAAAAACAGAGTTGAGATACTATGAAATAGTTATCAATACTGAAGCGCTATATGCAAGTGAATACCTTGGTAAATTTAGTTCTAGAAATATTTTCAAAGAAGAGAGGAGGATTCTTAAGAAAATTTGAGGCACAAACCAAATAGATGGAGAGTACAGACTTAAATCAAACAATGAAATTTATAAGGGAATATAAACATTTGAAACAGAGATGAGAAAAAGAAGATTAGGGGTTTTTTCGCCTTAAGTGCCAGCCAATGGAAATCATCAACGTCATCGCTTCATCAACAGACAATTCACCATTTCTACCGGCCTGGTACCTCCACCACCACTCAACCCCTAACGATCAACAAAAAGTTAACAAGTCGTGGGAAAGGCAGCCCCCGACGCATTTCGAACTATACCAAGAGGGAGAGTTTACTCGAATTTCCGACGCGAGCTTAAAGTTGCCATCAAAGGGCTGGCAATTTCGACCATTACAGTGACAGACGAAATTAAAGGACCTCACTGATCGCGACGCCCCGCCAATCGACGTGTTTCAGAGGAAAAAAGATCCTATACAATCGCTCGTCACTCACAAAAACCGGCCCCTAGTGTCAGCCAACACACATTGCCGAGATGCTGTACTGCCACGGTGTTAAGAATGGACGCCTTCCAGAGCTTTTCGCACTCGATCGGGCAAAAACTGCCGCTACTCTCCGTGTGCCCGACTCGAAGGGAAAAACCCGTCCACTTGCTAGAAAAGCGTCAAAGATAAAGCGGCCTGTTCCCACTGTACTGGAAATCATAGCTTCAAGAGGTGGACAATAAGTTAGATCGTCCTATGCACCCTTTCTTAGAACAAAACCTCGAGCGTACTCTGCCCCGACTTGCGCCCTCTCTTTACTCTTCGCACCGAAGCTCGGTAAGTTCATAGTAGTAAGAAGAAGAAACGCATCCCAACACAGCAACACATAACCATCAGCAGCCTTAACGTCCAAACTGTTTAACTACAAGACTACCACTAAAACCACGGCGTCATCCACCAGAGGCGCAATTTCAGCGATCATCCCACCGACACCCTCTACAACTCGTCAATTCCTCGTCAAAAGTTCCGGACACGCCACTACTATATACTTTCTCCGCCATCGCCGCTATGGTCAAGAAATCACCCCAGATAAAAACCAGCCACCAAAGAAAACGTGACCGCATACGAGATTCACGCTCAAGAGGGGCGGGTGGAAAGAATTGCAGGAGCCAATGTTCGGAAAAACATCATCACCATATAATTATCATATAATAAAAGTTAAAAGATCTACAGGACTTATTGGTTCTGAATCGTCTCTAGCGGAAAAAGCATTTTGCAGTAAACAATTACACTATTAAGTTCTGATCCCATCACGTCCTTTTCATAAATCATCTACAGTGATGATCATGTAGAAATAGACATAGGGATTTTCTATAGGAATGTCCTATGTCTACTTTTAAATGACAAAAAGTCTTCTAAAGGACGCCTAACTTGTTTCAAGAAGTTATTTTGGTTGCATAAAATTAGGCGTCTTTCAGAAGCCGTTTTATCATCTCAAAGTAGATAGGAAATCCCTTAGACTAGGAAAGAGAGGGCCTATGTCTACTTCTACACGAATATCACGTACTTATCTTAAAACAGAAGAGACGATGTCAGTTCTGTTTTATTACACCACTGCCAATAATGACGCGTTTCCCCCCACTCTTATAACTTCCTTTTTGTTCATTTTCGTCTCGACCCCTTTTAATACATGGTTCTCTCCTTTTATTTTACTCGTAGGTTTCTAGGTATCGAGGGCGCGTTTAACAACGCCACCTTAGATTCAATTAATAGGGCTGCTTTTTTATACTTAGGTACTTGCTTTTCTTTACAATACTCAATAGTGCAATAAAATATAGAAACTAAACTTTTGTGTGTTCTTCTTCATTATTTTTTAAATAAAATATGATTGATCTATGGCTATGGTTTTCTCAATCGAGTCAAGTATCTCTGAGTTGCTCAGTTGCGTATAACTAGACATCCTCCCACACTTTTTAAAATATTTTTCAAAACTGTTCTTTCAAAAATACATTATTTGATTGATTAAATCAACGGGTTTCAGTTACTTAAAAAACCCACTGCTTAGCATTAATTCGTACACAATTTTGCATGGGAAGGCCCTTTCAGACTCCATGGTCGCTGATTTTTGCCCCCCCGTTATTCACTTTCCACGTTGGTGGGCCATGGAGACACTTCTGGGACTAGATCCTTTACACTTAGCTGTGAGGCAGAGAGTCAGAATGCGTCCATACGGCTAAATGATTAGGACGAGTGGAAGGATCGAGGCAGCTTTGGATAAGGGCGGATCTGGGAGGAAACTTGGATCCACTGAACTATAATTAAACTGGAACGCGCGCTCCGAGAGAGAGGGGCACAAGGAGGATCTCTGTCGTACTCTCGCGCATGCATAGAGCAGCCTATTTGATATGTTTTGAATTTATGGCGCGCTACGTTTCTATGGCAGAGACCGGCGTTCCAGTTTAATTATAGTTCAATGCTTAGATCTGATCCCCTCCTCGCCAGTAACTCTAAGCAACCACCCCCCACTTCATGTTGCTGTGGAGTGAATGTTTTCCAAACTCTCCTTTTTAACGCATTTTTGCACCATAGAGTCCCAAATAAGACACATAAAATGTACGGGAATCTGTTCATGTTCCTTTCAAAAAATTTACAAAAAGCAACGATTTATTAAAGATTAAGCTTAAAATAATATCAGTAACAAAAGGATGTAACACAGTAATATGACGCTTAGATTTGTATATTAAACTTACATACATGTAGTATATAGGTTGAAGCTTGTAACTACTGACAAACGAAATGTAACAAAACCTAGTAAGCGTAATAAAATGATATGGTCCACAAATTTATCAACCTCTTCATAAACGAAGAGACACCTAATTGCGTACAACTGACGACTAGAAAAAATCCGACGTGTGATGAGGGCAAGTTACGGAATTTTGGTTATTAAAAATATTATTTAAAGCAACAAAATGTTCGACTGGGGAGGGAGATGGGACACTATACGTTCAACTTAAATGTTCCAGTGCAACGCAATTTTTTCTCCTCGCGTTAAACAGGAACCGTTCGGTCTATCAAATGCTAATACTATTAGTTTACTATTTTTCTTAATTTCTTTATCAAATATATCGTCTCCGGTACTATCTAAAATCTTGCTAAAATCCCATTCCACCTTCGGTAGTGGCGAGTTGATGAAACGAGCCGCTGTCGCCACACTAGGGAGAACGTGATGCTGTAATGTCTGTATTTCCCACAACGAACTGTTCATCGCGTTCGACTTTAGTGGATCACGCTCGTCCATAATATACGGATCTGAGGTTGCACTACCGCCGTTTGGACGATTTAAGAGAGATTTCAAATTTGGATGCCTGCAATAGATACAGTTATATTTTGTTCGAAAAGGTTTTTCCTAAGAGTTGGACTTGGAAAATTTCGTGTTGGCAACACTGAATAAGATATATCATTAAAGGATTCCGTCACATCCATGTTTGGTTCATGCAAAATAATTGTAAAGTTATTAATTTTATAGTTAGATATGAAATTATTTACAAAAACAAAAATAACACTGATTCTTGGAATCGAGAAACCCCAGTTTCCAATCGAAATTTGGACACCCTATAAAAGTTTAAGTTTCACATTTCGTGTCAAACGTCTGTCTTTTAAAATTCATAACATTATTCTGACTGTTTTTCTAAACAACAAAACTTGACAATTTAATCAGTATTGTAAACTTGATACAACAAAATACAACAATGATTTGATTGAAGGTCCATTTAAGGTCTTGTAAGTCCATTTGTAATATTTCCATATTATTCTCTCACTCAACTACATAGTTCTGAGATCATTAGCAGATCTCCCATTTACCACATATCCCAATTTAAGCTGCATTTATCACATCTAAGCAACATAATACTTTAATACCAAGGTATACTCATATACACTTTCAAATTTCAAAAAGAAATGCCAGCATAAACTAAGCATTTAAAATGACTCCCTGAACCCAAGCCCAAACTCTTATGAAAAAACTTTTGTAGATAACTCTTGTTAGTGGCTACAAACCTTATAATTAAATTCCCAATGAACATACAAATTATAATTATATCTTCAGACGGTGCGATTAAAGCCAATCGTGCCAACCGTTTTGCGAATGCGGCTACCATCGCCCCGGGAAGGTGCGATGAACTTAAAAATAAATCTGACAAGTAGAAGAGCCTCGCCTTGAACTTTGTGTGAAAAATTTCCGGTTCGAACATTGAATATAATTTAGCGAAAATATTTGGATATTCGAGATTGTGCACCTGGATCATGGTGAACATTCCCTGAAGTGCTAAAAGGCTAACTGGTCCGCCTACATCTAGCGAGTCCATTAAAAAATCAGTCATCAGCAAAGGCTTCTCTAAGTGGGGAAGTACCCGTTCCAGTAACACTATCAGCAACTGCTTGTGGGTGGCGGGCGTGTGCTGCCATAGCATCAGGCAATTCCAGATTTTGTTTAAGTACCGTTTTGTCTTAACCTGGTCAAAGTGAAAGGTCAATTTTTCATCGCCGTCAATCCAGCACATCGCCTTAGGGTCGTCATTTCGCTTCACTTGCATTTTCTCCATCAGTTGTAAATAATTTAGCATATAAAATTCATTGGGGTTCGCCTTGGCGGTTAGTGACGGTAATATTTTCCAAGTGAAAAATAAAACATCGTCATAAACTAAATACTCTTCATACTTTTGAATTAAATGCGAAGTATTCTCTTTAGAAGTAAGCAGCTTCATTAACACTGCTTTTAATTTGTTTAAAGGTATATAATTTCTCAAATTAAGCTTTGCTTCGAGTGGATACTTTGCTTCATAGTTAATCAGATTCATGGCAGTTGTCAAACCTGCAGACCTAAGTTAAGGTGCTGTTAAAAACAGTAAACACTCACCTTGGATTTGAATTTTTGTAGGCGAAGACTCACAGCAATTTAGTATTTTATTAAAGCATTCCTCGTAGATATGTCGCAACCATTCCTTGTATTGTAACTCTGGGGTGACCTCCGGCGGCTTCAATGGCACAATCTGCACAAACATCTGCCTCTCCTTTAAGAGATTTGTAAAAATCAATTCGAGCGAAAGGAGGCATGCTAATAAATCGGCACCGGTTTCAAAATGCCTGATAATGTCAACTAGATTGTCTGCATATTTATATGAAGATAGAAATTCTTGAGCTTTCAAACGTAATACTTTGGATATTTTTGTCGTCCTTTCAACGTTGGACATTCTCCACTTGTAGAAAATACGGTGCGACACAATAACCTTATTTTTAGGTTGGAATTCCAAAATGTCAGTCACTAAAAAAAGTAGCCTTAAAACAGGGAGATCAACACGTAATGGGCAAATTTAGCGTGATTACTTACCGGTGGTCTATTTACTTTGCCTAAATTATATTAAACACCCCGCATTTTAACAATTTGTACAAATTGCAACTTATTGACGTTTAGTGACGATGTGAGGTACAAATATAATGATGACGTAGGTCCAATGTTACGCTCTGGTAGTTCAAATGCTTTCGACGAATAATCATTCGAACTAATTATCCACAGTGTGAAGGTAAATAAATTGCACGTGTATAATTAAATTTAAAAAAAAATAATTTATTTGAAGGTACGAGCTGCAGTTATTTATTGTTGATAATCGTCAATCCTTCATGGCTTGAGAAGTTGGTGATGGAACGGGATTATTTGAGGGTATTATCTGCGCTCCCATATGTGGACTTAACTGCCCTCTGCTCCCTTTTCTGGTCTCATCGCTTTGAGCTTGCCGGCGCTCCTGAAGGTACTGTTTGATTTTTCAGCTTCGTTTGGATTATACCCAGCCGCCATTAGTTTTTTGAACCTCTTACAAGCGGCTGTACAAAGATTTACTTGCGGGGTGGGCCCTCGCCACACCATTGTTTAGTCACTTGTCTCCACTGAGACTTTGTTAACCGAGAATTAGGAGTCCTCGGTTAGAGAGGGATGCGGTAACACTGTCTAGACCAGTGCTCCTCGTCGCAGTAGGTCAATATAAGGTCCTCTCGATGTCGGGACAATCCCTGGTCAGTGGTGATTGGAGGTAGCGAGTCCTCTGTTACAACTTGAGGGGTTTTTGTATTAACGACGCTCCCACGAGTATTAGGCTTTTAAACGGTCCCTGGCAGCTTACCTTTACCATAAGAAGGAGCGTTGGGATCGTTACCAGGGGGCACCACTAGGACGTTGACAGACGGCTAGTCAGGTTACGCTATAAAAACTGAGGAAAGTTTTTGTTCCCACATATGGTGGTCGGGACCAAAGATACCGAGCTTTTTGCTCTAAGTTACTGGGAGCACCATGACTGCTTCTTCCAGAACTTACGTCGCTTTCCCCTGACCTTTACCCCCCCCCCCCCCCAAATACTTGCATTACAAAAGGAAAATTCAACTTTTTGAGGGAGAGCAAGACTGGGGGTCACAGCGCACAAACATCTTATGATTATTATTAATTAATACATCCACGATCTTTCCCATCTATATAAAAATATTGGAGAGATCGTAGATTTATTTATTAATAATTTTATCCCGAGGGGTAAACCGCTGGTTTAAAACGTGTACACCATTACTCATATATAATATTGTATTACCCACTATTACTCGGTATTACTCAGAATTACTCAACTATTACTCGACATTACTCCCAATTATTACTCTTATTACTCAAACCGTGCACACCAAATTACTCCAGCGGTTTACCCCTCGTTTTATCCCAAACGTGAGCAACAAATCTTGTCATCAAAATATCTTATGGTAATTGTAGGAACAGGAACGCTTTAATATTTAATTTCCTGGTTTTAGCATTTTTTTTCGGGAAGACTATCACGGGAATCCTTAGGACTGAACGTTTTTAGAGAGAATGTAACCTCGAGCAGGGGTCTGAGCCATCCCCTCTAGCGTACAAAAATGTTATAATAGGTGTAGGAAAAGGACCACTGAATTTTAATTTCCTGTAGAGGTATTCCAGACACCCCGGTTCTGCATTCTCCTCCAAAATATTTAATGGTTTTACCTATACTTCACCGTAACGGGTAGGAAACAACCATGAACCATAACACCGCAAGTCTGTGGGGTAGGGAAAGAAAGGTTGAATGGTTTTATAAAAAATTGTCATGGGAGCCCTTAGGGCTGAATGTTTTTAAACAAGAATGCAGTAGTGAACAAAAATCTAACGACTGATGTACAAAAAACATTGAATTTGTTTCAAAGGGATAGGGGGTGTTCCTTACCCCCGGACCTCAAGGGAATATGGGGAAGTTCCACATTTGACGATTTAGGGCAACTTTTGTTTGTTTGGGTCGTATTTTGGTTCCATGAAATTGCTTTGTTTACGTTTTGGATTAAAAGACAGGGATAATTCGCCCACGTACGATGTATGTATAATATAAACCAATTAAGGGGAAGCAGAGAAATGATTTTGGCCATTTCTGTGTGAAAATGTTTTGCAATAGCAATAGTTTTTAGATCTTGGGAAGTAAATTTGCCATCGATTTAGAATTCACCCAGTATACGGTGGTTCGTGGCACCTATGCGAATAGTATTTTTTAAAATTTCTTTGCTGAATCGAAAGCGCACACTTTCTAGACACATAATGTCCTCAGAAAAGTTTATAAACGGTAATAATGAAATAAATATAATCTAGTGTAAATTTTCGTATAAGGTATTTTTTTACCGGATAGATACATCTAAGTATAGTTATGTAGAATGGAATGGAAAAAGCAGAAAAGCACAAGAATATTTTCAAACAATCTTTGCGATAGTGTAACAGAGATATGAATTTGTTTAGTCGGCGTCTTTGTTGTACCAAAGAGTATTACTCTTTGGTTGTACGTCGCGCAGAAATCTCCATGGATGTAATTTGTTTTTGGCACTCCAAGATCATATCATCATCATGTATAACATAATCATGTCCTGCAGGCTGCAGTGAATGAACAGGTATTCTTTACAATTCGTATTCATTACGAAAATAAGAAAATAAACGAAGTAGATGTGAGAATTAGACATTTATACAACAAATGAGTATTGTTTAAAAGTCAATAAACATTTTTATGTCGATAAGCACATTTCATTTTACCATTGAATAACATTTTAATGCAATAATTCTAGTTATTTCGACTGGTTATATGTAAGATCTTGCTAAACTGGTTCGCGCTTTGCCATTACGAGTATGATGTGTTGCCTAAACATGTTGGCATCACTCTTATAAATTTTAGCGCGCTTGCGGTTGCGCAGTATCGAGGGAGTCACCGTGCAACACAACACATGTGCATGTATGTAAACATAAACATTTAAACAACCGCTTTGCAATGCAAACATGTTTGCAAATAAATGGTGGGTCCACCGTAAAAGAAGTGCTACAACAACCCCCAGAGTATTTAACGATATTGCGAAGATCGATAGTGACCACTCACTTCATGGCTACTTTGGCTTCAAGTTCTATTTCAAACCCAAAGAGTTTATCGATGTTACACCCTGCCTAACGAAAATTCGTGCCTTTGAAAGTTACATTAAAAGAAATGCAAACCAATTCACCTTTCCTGAAATACGTGAACATAAAGTTTTTACAGTTGACTTATCATCTCTACTTGCCGACAATGAATTTCATGTGGCCTGGGCCGATTTCAAACTCGATCTCTCTAGGAATACGCGATTCGTTTTAAGCTGTATGGCTATCGCAATGCTTCAGCAGGTGATAATTGAGGAAAAGGTCGCAGTCTTGCATCCGAGGCTAATAAATCATGAACCAATCACTCCATTGAAAAATTTGAAGACAAACACATTCGGAACACTTGTTTCTATCCGAGGTACTGTAGTTAAAGCGTCTATCACGAGGCAGTTGTGTGTTAAGGAAATGGCATTTAATTGCGTCAATTGTAATGGAAGTCAATTGGTGGAGCAGCTTGATGGGGCCTATACAATTCCCACCAGTTGCCCAACGAAAGGCTGTAAGTCTCAATCAAGCTTTACTCCTATTTTTAATAGCTTTACGGTTGCCCCGAATTGGCAATGCTTGAAAGTGCAAGAGCTGATTGGAGTCGGCTGTTACGAAAACGGAAGGGTGCCGCGTACTATCGACTGTGAGTTATCCGACGATTTAGTGGGGTGCTGTATCCCCGGTGATGACGTAACAATTACCGGTATTATTATGAGTCGCAGCGATAAAAAACACAATCAAGCTTCCGTCTTTCACATCTACATTAACGTAATCAATGTTGTTAACGCTAAGAGTCAGTCTAACGGAAGTGTGGAACGAATCACGTTCAACACTGCCGACTATTACGCAATCCAGCGAATTCACGCTCGTCCCTCCTTGTTTCGTTACCTTGTACAGTCGCAATGTCCGAATATCTACGGAAATGAAATTGTTAAAGCCGGACTACTCCTGACTATGTTCGGGGGTACCAGTGTCGAGGCCGAAGAGCGATTTCGCTTAATTTCGCACGTGCTAATGGTGGGAGATCCCGGATTGGGTAAATCTCAAATGTTGCTGGCGTGTGCGAATGTGGCCCCTCGTGGGGTTTACGTGTGCGGAAATACGAGTACTAGTTCCGGATTGACTGTGACAATGAAAAAGGAATCAAGTGGAGACTACTCGTTGGAAGCGGGCGCTTTAATATTGGCAGACCGAGGGTGCCTCTGCATTGACGAGTTCGATAAGATGACCTCTCAACACACCAGCCTACTCGAGGCTATGGAACAACAAAGTATAAGCATCGCCAAGGCGGGGGTCATGTGTAACTTATCTTCGCGCTGTAGCATCTTCGCCGCGGCTAATCCGGTCGGTGGGCATTATAATAAGGCGAAAACTGTCGCGGAAAATCTCAAAATAAGCTCTCCTCTCATTTCCCGTTTCGATCTAGTCTTCGTTTTAATGGACCAATCGTGTAAGAAATACGACCAGCTGGTCTCCGAAAAAGTCTTGGGTTTGCATTCCAAACTTAAAAGGCCACTATTGACGCAATCTATTACAAATGCCACCGGTAAGACACTACAAGAGCGTTTAATGGCAACCGCGGGAGATACCGATCACCTTGAGCATAGTTTGTTTCGAAAGTACATCGCGTATGCGCAAAGATACGTTCACCCGACCATCGCACTGGAAGCAAAAGAGATTTTAGAACAATTCTACTTGGAGCTCAGAAAATATCGTCAAGAGAACAACTGCTCTCCTATCACCGTGCGCCAGTTAGAATCGATGATGAGGCTAACAAAAGCGCGAGCGAAGGCCGAGTTGCGTGAAGAGGCCACCGTTGAGGATGCCATCGACGTTCTGGAAATCATGCGCAACAGCTTCATCGACATCTTTACCGACGAAACGGACCGGCTGGACTTTCGAAGATCTCAAGGCGGCTCGGGTATGAGCAAGGAGAAGCAGTTGAAGGCGCTATTATCGTGCATGCAGTCACGAGCCGAAGAACTGATGCAGAATGAGTTTACAAGGGAGGAGATTCGCCAATTAGCGGAAGAAGTGGGAATTGGGAGAGAGACATTCGGAGATGTTTTGCAGAAATTGAATTTTCATGGTTATTTATTGAAACGGGCTCAAAACAAATATAAATTAGCTAGTGTAGATTTCTAATTTTCTTGTATTATTTGTACGTATTTTTTCTGTTTGTACTTCAGTAAATTTTCATTTGGTTTTGGGTTGTACAGTCAGTGTTTTTGATTTTTTGATCAATGTAAATGCGTTATCGTTTTGCTTGTTTGAAGCTTAGCACCTGAAAAATTCTATTGCCTCACTTTGATCATTTCGAACACATTTAAAGCGACCACTAAAATCAAGGAAATATAATCGCCAAGAATAACGAGGAAATGCAGAATAATAAGGAAATATGTACCTACACTACTTTACTAGTAGGAAGTAAACTGCAAAGCTAGTAAAACAATATACCAGTAATGACACGTAGAGGGGTCTATTAACTTGCCCCCCCCCCCCACTGAGAGATTTGTTAGTCGTATTATTTTAAAATGAATGCGCCACCGATAATAACTCTTGCGCCCTTATCGTTTTTTAGAAATCTGAAAAAACAATGGGGGGGGCCAAGTGAACGTAGCCCCCCCCCAGTACGTATTTTGTCGCTTGTAATTAGGTCACCTGATACATTTGGTTATGCGCTCAATTGCGCCACTTGAATTAAAGCTAGCGCCATTACGGTTACGCCGTGACAAATTTTCAAAAAATGGGGGGGAGGGGGCAACTTAACGTTTTTAAAAGTTACTTTTTTTACATCTTTTCATACGAAATTGTACTCTCAGGTATGCGCCGTAAAAAGATATCTTTGCGCCATTCTTGTTTTTTGGTTATTCTTAAATATATTTGGGAGGGGCCAAGTGAACGGAACCCCCCATAACTCATTTTGCTACCAGTATTTGGGCCACTCGATATATCAGGTTATGCGCTCAATTGCGCCACTTGAATTAAAGCTGGCACCATTACGGTTACGCCGTGACAAATTTTCAAAAAAAGGGGGAGCCAACTTAACGTTTTTAAAAGTTACTTTTTTTACATCTTTTCATACGAAATTGTACTCTCAGGTATGCGCCGTAAAAAGATATCTTTGCGCCATTCTTGTTTTTTAGTTATCCTTAAATATATTTGGGAGGGGCCAAGTGAACGGAACCCCCCATAACGCATTTTGCTACCATTATTTGTGTCACTCGATTATCAGGCTATGTGCTCAATTGCGCCACTTGAATTAAAGCTAGCGCCATTACGGTTACGCCGTGTCAAATTTTCAAAAAATGGGGGGGGGGGGCCACTTAACGTTTTTAAAAGTTACTTTTTTTTACATCTTTTCATACGAAATTGTACTCTCAGGTATGCGCCGTAAAAAGATATCTTTGCGCCATTCTTGTTTTTTGGTTATCCTTAAATATATTTGGGGGGGGGGGGCAAGTGAACGGAACCCCCCATAACGCATTTTGCTACCAGTATTTGGGCCACTCGATACATCTGGTTATGCACTCAATTGCGCCACTTGAATTAAAGCTAGAGCCATTATGGTTATGCCATAAAAATTTTTTAAAAAGTGGAGGGGCTAACTTAGCGTTTTCAAAAGTTACGTTTTTTAACATGTTTTTTTTCTACTACATCGTACCTTTCATCATGCGCTAAAATGGGCCGTAAACATAAATCTGCGCTATTTTAGTTTTTGGGAATCTTTTTTAGTACCTATAGAACTATAACGCTATCCATTTTAAGAAGGTAGCGGCACAGTATATCCCCTTACTGTGGTATTACCCTGAAAAATAAAACGAGTGACAAATTCTGTCTGTTAGAAGTTTCAATTACGAACTAAACTGTCGAACTGTCGTTAGCTGTCAATTCCAAAGATCCAAGCGTGATATCGTTTGATTTATATTTTTCAAATTTTGTGCCGATTTATATTTTTCTGTGTGTGTGTCGATCTTCAAACACAGCGCCATCTACTACCTTCTTATAATGAATACAGTATATATACAGGGTGGTGACTTGCGTAACGCATCATAGGGATTTCAATGTAAAATTCATAACATGCGATTATTGGCTCCCCAAATTATTTTAGAACAAAAATGTAGTAAAGTTTTGTGTAGAAAAATTTTTTTACGTCAATCAAGCGTATTAGTTTTCAATTTTTTGCATAATAAAGATTAAAAATTGGGAAAATAAAACCCGCATCTTTTTCAATAATCTGTGATGCCATGGAATTTTATAATACAAAAACTACCCCAATATCCGGCATGCCATGGAATGTCTGCTATAAAACAAATCAAATTCTATCAAAAAGTATTATATTTGTAACAGTGAATTCAACATAAAGAAAGACGAAATTACTAAAACGGTTTCCTAATATAACCATTTACAATAAATGTTCGAATAAGTCATCATTAACTGACAGTAACTAAGTCGATTATAAAATCCATTTCGAACTGCTGCTAATTGATAACTGGATATCTTTTTGTTTTAGAAAATTCCATGGCATCGCAGATTATTGAAAAAGATGCGGGTGTTATTTTTCCAATTTTCCGTCTTTATATAAAAAAAATTGAAAACTAATACAGTTGATTGACGTAAAAAAAATTTTTCTACAAAAAACTTTAATACATTTTTGCTCTAAAATAATTTAGGGAGCCAATAATCGCATGTTATGAATTTTACACTGAAATCCCTATGATGCGTTACGCAAGTCACCACCCTGTATATATTATGGTGGCCAATTAGAATTTATGGAAATCGAAAGTTAAAACAAAGAAATTTTAATTTAAAAATTAAAATGCTTAGTGATGCCCCCCACAGAAAAGATCGTAAGGGAGGAGGAAGTGTGCAGATTATTTTACTAAAATTTATCTATTTCCCAAGACCTTATTGAACATAATGAGTACAATAAATTGCTTGATATTCTGCAGATCAGAGATAGCGTTTTAACATATACAAATAATTGTTATTCTTTATCTAATAATCCTCGTCCAAATGCGCCACCAATCTAATTTTCGCTGTCCTCAAATTTAACAAATAGAGCCGGGACGTGAAATTAATCCTAGCGATTTTGAAACAGATCCTTTTCTGTCCGTCTGTCCATGTGCACGATAACTTGTTTAGAAACGTTCGATCGCTTTGAAAATTGGTATACATGGTCTTAAGGATACAAGAATTAGAGTAGTCTCAAATTGAGAAGTACATCGTGACGTCATCACTTTCTGCGCGTATTGTTGCCACTAGTGGCGTATCATAGGGTATTTAAATTGAGGTTTGAAAGTTAAGTACATTTGCTGTGTGAAGCAATGCACAAATGTCAACGCGCGCGCTCCCCTTAGGAGTTATCATGGACTCTCCCGGGCACATTTTCATGCTTTGCGCAAATGACGTCACGATGTACTTCTCATTTTGAGATTACTCTAGGTCCTTATGTTTTTGTTACGTAGACTATCGAGTCAAAAAGTTTCACTCCAGGATCGTTCGGTATTCAGTTGTATTGGAATTGTATATTTGATTTTGTGATAATTTTTAATTTTACAGTATTTGAATACTAAAAAGTATTTACAAAATCGAATACTGCCCATCAGCTCTGTCGGACGGGACCAAATAATGCAATAAGAGTTCCTTTCTAACAATTATATTATTATTTCATCAAGTCTCGCCTTTGTCACAAATACCGTTTGAAGATACAACACAAAATTAGTTAAACACTTAATTGCCATATATTTCCTTTGTAATGGTCATTCTGAACTGAAATAGAACTACGATCCCACCTTGCTCGTTCTCCAGTACCAAAAAGTAAAAAAGGTATCATAGTGACTACATAAATCACTGCAAGTATTATAAATATGATACGCCATTCTTCGAGGGTTTGCTGTACAGCAATGTAAGATACACTAGCCGGACAAATTTAAGAAGTACATTACCTGCTTTGCCAAAATGGCGACTACGTAAGGTACGATTATTCCCGTAACCGAAGCCATTCCCTCGCCAAAACAAATCAGCAAACTTCCAAATTTAAATGTAATATCGCTTATGTTTACTCTAGGCCCCGGATACCAGCAGCCGATGAACGCCATTGAAATGCATATGCAGACAATAACGTCAGTTGTGCTCGTCATCGCGCTACCAAGAATTAAAAACGCCATGGACCCCAGGGTACCTGAAAGAAATCGAGATACTCTGCGACTAAACTGCTAAAGGTCACTATACTCATGCATGCGAGCGTTTTCCGCGTTTGGAAGACACCAAGCATGTTGGTGCCAATAATCACATCCGCCACTGTATTGGATATTATGCAACTGACGCAAATAATTGCGAAGCAGAGCGAGCTGTACATTCCACTTTCGTTGACATCGCATTTCAGGGCACCGACAAAGAACTTTGGCAATTCGATCGTTATGGTGGAGATAAGAAGGGCGTGTCCGAAGAAGAACACCAGCACCGGTGCCACAGAGTTGTCATTCAAAAGCACTTTAAGCGGGACGGGAATACTGGGCGGACCTAATATATGCATCTGTATGTAGTGCTCGCACTAGGTAGGTATAACGCAACACTGACCGGTGTTGTTTTCTAAAAATTCTTTCTCATGGGGGGTAATACAAGGATGCTTGGATGGTTTTGAGTAACACGTCACCAAGTAGATGCAATACCAACCAATTCCCACAACTCCCCATACATAAAAAATTGTCTCCCAATATTTAAAGTACCAAATTCCGTATCCTGAACAAGCGTACCCTACAGCAGCAGCGAACAGTGGGCACGTGTGCAGAAATGATGTAACTCTAAAGCGGGAATCTTTAGGTATCCACTCTGATAGCAATAGCTGAATAGCAGGATACATCAGTCCCTATAATGAATATACTCACTTAGTCGTAATAGATTAGAGTATATTACTTGCGAACAACCCAGAATGACTCTTATGGCCAGAGAGCCCCAAACACTGGCACCTTTAACCGTTACAGGCGTAAGGCAAGACAGTATGGCTGACGCCAGGAATGACGTGCCTAGGATGTGTTTTCCATCAGTGTGCGTCATTAACAACAGAGCACCAATATAGCTCACTAAATACCCAGCGGAAAATGACGCCAAAACTATCCCTTGACCTCCTTCGGTCCAGCGGGTTCTGTTATTCGAACCGGATTCCAGTACAGTAATCTCCGTTATGGCTATATGGAAACATAGCCGCATGTTGTACGCTAGTATCACACCTATAGTGAGTACGAAGGCTAACACGTATCGTTGTGGTATTACGAAACCTATGGGAAGTTGTGGCGTTCACTTCGAAATTTGTTCAAGGAATTACTTACTGCCGCATGAGCACGCTAGTATATTAACACACATGTTCCTCAGTAGATTTGGTGGTTTTGTACAAATTTGATAGCTGTCAAGCTATTGACAGCACTTGCCATTTTTTTGCCCGAATTATTGAAGTGTATTATGAGTCTAGTTCACAAACCTACCGTGAACATCCTTGCTCTTTTCCGTATTGTATTTATTTTCCATATCAATTTTTGTAGTTCTACCTTGTCCCTTTGCAATTGATTATTTCATCTCTTCCTTTCATTTTTTAAGGTATAAAGCGTTTGATATTTTTTGTACATAATGATAAGGTTTTCCTTTGTTTTCAATCCCATACCTTTATTTATTTTTTTCGTTTAATTAAACTTCATTATAAATTTTTCAGTGTGGCATCCCCGGAGAGATTGTGTCCGGGAATTCAACGCGATCAGTTTCCTACTTTACACTCCGACCTCCACCCAGCCTGGAGAGATCTGACCTACAACTACCCCAATTTTCAAATGCAAGTGAGTATTTTGTAATAGAAGATTATTACTTCAGGAAATGACTCATTACTTGCGAGGAAATATTGAAGTACAATTCAAGTAGAGTAACAAGTTTTGTATTACATTATTCCCGAAAATTTCCAATCATCCACTTTTCTTCATTTTCATGCCTGCTTTCTGTCAGGACATTTTAGATTTTAGTTTCCATGACAGAGGCAGAGTAGACTACGTTTCCTGCCGCTTGTCACTTTACTGGTAGCACCTGTCACTTTACCGACCGCATTTGTGACATTTCCAAATGTCTATAAGGATTTCTGTCATCACTGAAAGATTGACGTTAAACAAAAGCTCTATATAAAAATTGCAATTTTATATTAAAATACGATTTCGGGTAAAACTCGTCAGTAAAATGAACCTGACTCGGAAATTAAAGTACTCGGTCCCCTCACATTTCAATATTTCCTCGCCAGTAATGTATCATTTTTCTGACTTTTATGTAAATAACTATTTATTTATTTATTATTTATTGATTTTAATGTGTCAGTTTGCTAAAGTGACAATGAAGCAATGGACAATTTTTTAAAAATATTATTTCTCCTTGCCATTCAGAAAATCTATATTGGTAATCAATGCCCACTGGACTGTGGATATGTAAAAAAATACTGTTCACTAAAATACATATAATATAAACATTCTACGGCCTGCATAATACACTTGTTAAGTTTTGACTGCAAGCTTACAAACTACTTAGAGACACTAACAAAAACTATTTGTACACAGTTTATAAACCGAAGGAAATAATGGGAGTCCAAAAATGTACAGAGTTAGTCTAATCACTAAAATAATTATTGACGGGATATTGTCAATACCTAATTGCATTATTACACCTTCTGTCTTGTACATTTAATTAAGTTTTTAAATTTGCGTTAATTAAACGAAATAAACATTCCCGTTTTGACGAGTACACATTTAAAACTTTTATTGATAGTAATCGTACAAATTAAACTTTAAATTAAATGCACAGTAAATTGTTTGTACAAATTAAGTTTCTTAAAAAACAAACACTGACTTCTCCTCTAAGCGGGTAGTTGAAGCTTCTTTCCTTTCAGAACTGAAAATGAATTATGAGTAACGAATGTGGTCAAAGGAACATTTACCTTTGGTAATATACAGATAAAAGAAATCGCAATACAGCACTGTTTGCACTATCCCCGCAACGATGGCGATTAAATCGTAATGATCCTCGGTGGTGTAACGGTATATCCAGTTTAAAATGTAAAGTGCGCGGTAAGATCCGAGCGCGAATAAATAATGCGAAGTAATACTTTCGGCTTCTCCCGTTTTACTAACCATAAACAATTGCGGCAAGATAGCGACCGATTCCATATAAATACTAAAGGTCCAAAGCACCTGTTGATTTAAATCAATTAGTACGCGAAAAAGTGCGGACGGACTCACCTCCAGAACTGTAAAGTCATGATTAATGAGAAGCGCGAGAACGAACGACGGTAACACTAGGAATTCCACTCGGAAGGTGTCGTGATTGTGATCGTAGGTGGCTTTAAATTTCATATAAATCAGGTATACAGTAGCGTAGGAAGCTGCGATAAACACTATCTTCATAAGGGTGTTGTACATCGAGACAAAGTTCGGTAAATCCAAGTATCGGCTCGTGTAAACGATGGCAAACAGAATTTGTGACTTGCCCGAGATACCTGAAAAAAGTAATCATTGAAGAAAATGGCAACCTACCTGACGTGGAAGGTTATGTTGCAATTTTCACCCTCTACCCACATTTTATTGGTAAATTGTGTATTGAAGGTTGCAAAAATTACTTTCCGGGATGAAAGTGAGTAAAAATGCGTTAAGGGGGTATTGCATAGGGGGCATAATAAGCACAAGGAAGTATTTATTGACGTGTTGGATGTGTTGTACCGTTTTATTACCGGTCGTTAAAGCTTAAAGGGTATGCCTCGGTACTTACCGGCGCATGATCTCGTTTTCCATATTTTTAATAATAAAATTATTATTGCTAAAAGATGAGACAAGTCGCCAACTAATCTAAAAATATTCATTCTGAAATTTAAAAATTAAGTTAAACAACACCCCGAGCACCAGTGTATATGACGTGGCTCCTTGTGCGATTGCCATTAGATGGCGTGTACATTTTCGACGCGGTACACTTGAACTACGAGTTTGAGCGTTTGAACTATGAATTTAAATGTGCGTAAATTTGGATTGCGTGGCATATTTTTGGGGTATGAACTTTTAGTATTTCTAACCCGTTTCGATTTATTATTATGGAAAAATGAAACAAAGTCTACAATGTCAAAAATTTTCGTTCCCCCTTCCAACATTTATGAAAACTTTACATAATTACTTTGCACATTTTAAATAATTTGGGAAGAATTACACATTTCCAAAAGTATTGAAGCCCATTTCTGAAACATTTCTATAAAATTCAATGAGACTAAGTGGAAATAGGGATAATTATGCTTCCCCTTTCACATTAACCAACTATTTTCTAATGCCCCTCTTCTTTCTTATCGTGAACCAACCTAACAATAAATTAAAACATTTAATGATTCTCAATTAGCTCAGATTTAAATAATTGTGTTCAATCCAAATTAACAACCATTGTTTATAAACAAAAATGAATAAACAATGCCTACTACTTTTTCTATTTGAATAAGGAATGACAAGATCGAGAACGTCCTATGTCATAAAGATTCATGACAAATAAATGACGTCATCGCTTCCGGTGCAGTTCTAATTCAAACAACAAATTAATTTTTTAATTCAAATGGTAAAAGCAATCGACAAATTTTGTAAGATGATACGTTCTCGCATAAGTCCGCTTTTTTAATTCAAATGATAAAATGAATGGACTTCTGAAGAGTAGATTATTTCATCACCCTGTACAACACTTTTTGAACAAAGATTTTATTGCTCACAAATAGATGTCAGCACTTAAATTTTAAACAGCTGCTTTAAGTTTATTTTCGTAAAAATGGCGGCTGTGGAGGTTGGTGATTGTAAAAATGATTCCGATGGCCTGTCTGAGGCAGAAAGTAACTCTGAAGAACTAATATCAACTACAGAAAATACAGCAGACGTCACTTGGAAGGACCTGGTGAGTTATAAATCTTGAACTTAAAAATAATCCCATCACGTGTTTTTCCTAACCTCAAAAATGATGTACACTTGAGTATTTTATGAACAAAACTGATTTAGTTACTATTCGTCACTACCTCTGATTTTGCAACATGTTTTTATAAGTGTTTCTCTAAAAACTGCACATTCTAATTAGAGTTATTACAGGGATTAGTCGACGCCATCTGCTCGGCTTGCGAGCAGCTGAAATGGAAAGCACCGACGAAAATTCAACGAGAATCCATCCCTCTGGCATTACAAGGCAAAGACATAATCGGACTGGCAGAAACCGGATCGGGAAAAACTGCCGCGTTCGCGTTACCAGTTTTACAAGCGCTCCTCGAAACTCCACAGCGTTACTTTGCGCTAGTTCTGACGCCGACACGCGAATTGGCTTTTCAAATTTCGGAACAATTCGAAGCTTTAGGTTCGTCGATTGGAGTTAAATGTGCGGTTATCGTCGGCGGAATGGATATGATGTCGCAGGCGCTAGTTTTGGCAAAGAAGCCGCACGTTCTAATTGCGACACCCGGTAGATTAGTCGATCATTTAGAGAATACCAAAGGTTTTAATTTGCGTGCTTTAAAGTTTTTAATAATGGACGAAGCGGATCGCATTCTGAACATGGATTTCGAAGTGGAGCTTACGAAAATTTTGAAGGTGATCCCGCGGGAACGGCGCACAATGCTGTTTTCGGCTACTATGACGAAAAAAGTGCAGAAGCTGCAGAGGGCCTCGTTGCATGATCCCGTCAAAGTGGAAGTGTCTACCAAGTACCAGACGGTCGACAAATTACAGCAGTATTATGTTTTTATTCCCGTGAAATTTAAGGTATTTATTTTATATAATCGACCTGGTAAACACAGTTTAATTAATATGTGCTCGATATAGGATGTTTATTTGGTGCACATATTGAACGAAATGGCGGGAAATAGTTTTATGATTTTTTGCTCTACGTGCAACAACACTATACGTACCGCTTTGATGTTACGTAATTTGGGATTTACTGCAGTACCCTTGCACGGGCAGATGTCGCAAAACAAGAGATTGGCGGCGTTGACGAAATTCAAAGCGAAAAACCGTTCCATTCTGATCTCAACAGACGTGGCCAGTCGGTGAGTGACTTACAACTGTTTGCTTTCTGGGTTTGGCTTTACAATGATGTTAATTTGTGGAATGATCGCACATGATGAGTTTCACTTCGTCACTACCACTGAGAATACTCATTGCACAGCCACCAGAATCTTGCTAAAATTGCAAAGTCTAACGTATCTCTTGCAGAGGATTGGATATACCTCACGTTGACGTGGTAGTGAACTTCGATATTCCGACACACAGCAAAGACTACATACACCGGGTTGGCAGAACTGCACGAGCCGGCCGATCTGGTGTGGCAATCACGTTCGTTACACAGTACGATGTAGAGCTGTACCAGAGGATAGAGCATTTGATTGGGAAGCAGTTGCCGTTATATAAAGTTGAGGAGGATGAGGTGATGGTACTTCAGGAACGTGTGGCCGAGGCGCAGCGTGTTGCCAAAATGGTTGGGTATTTTCATTATGACTTTGATGTTAACTGATGAGCTTGCAGGAAATGAAAGATATAGTTGACAAAAAGGGTAAACGGAAAAAAGGCGAAGATGGTGACGACGATGATACAGAAGGTGCCTCAGGTGTGAGAAAACGTCTCAAATCGAATAAAAATAGAAAAAATAAAAATAAATAAATTTAGTAAATGTTTTCGGTTATTTTTGTAAATAAAAATGGTGTATGTTTCTTGTTCTTTGTGGTCAAGCAATTTTATCTATCCCACTGCTTCTCCCAAAGTATAGAGCATGAAAAACAAAGACTTCCAGAGAATTCAGGTGGAAATTAAAAAAGTTATTCGTACAAAATGAAATCTATAAAATCGATCAATTCGTAATCTGCAAATAAATTTATTTACTATTTAACTTTGTATTCTACTGTGTAACTTCTTCATTTACTGTCTACTGGCCCTTTTTTTTTTATAAGTACAGTACAAGAAGTGGTCGATGGAGGAGAAGCGGATGGGAGGTACGATTCTGCCAAACTGCTACTGCATATGTAATAAAGTATCGTGTGGAGATATGACACCTTCTACTGTATCATGAGGAAGATTGTCCAGAATGGTTTGATTAACCCATATGGAAGTATTACGGCACCTCCCATGGGAAAAAGGTACTATCCAGTGTAGTCAATACAGAGCCAAAAAAGAAAAAAATGTCTGAAGAGCGTACCCTTGTGGACACCACAACTGCAATGAGAGACGACCAGACTGGAACAGCACGAAGACCGACGGTCGTTCGAGGAAGAAGGTACAAGACATTTCTACAATATGTTTGCAAGTTTTCTCCTAGGGTCTTTGTTTATAAATGGATAAACCAACAAACATTTTTGAGAGCTAGCTATTTTCTACGCAACACACTGTATAACGTAAGTCTTGCACGTCTGCGCACACCGAATAAGAAATCGTATATCCCATAAATGTCAAAAATCTTTCTCTTATACACCCGGTACTTAAGGTCGAAATTGGATTGATTAAGATTTGGCAATCGAAAAATTTTATATATACAGAAAAATACGTCATTAAAAAAGGACACATTTATCCAGATTTACGTGGGGCCGAGCGTGTCGTCTCATTTCATTACAAGGTGTATAACCTGCCGGGCATCTTTTTAATGAAAAGTTGCTCACAATTACGACCTTAAATACGTATTATTTATTTCTGTTCGGCTCTCTATTGAAATTTATTATTAATGAATTAAACAAAATCATGCGTCCTAATTGTTTATTTACGTAACAGTTTCTCTCGTTTCAAGTGCGAATTGAAAATTTCTAAAATCTAAAGTGCCAGCGAAAAATCTGAATTAACGTCATGAGAATTTGTGAAATAAGTGGTGGACTTTTTTTGTAAAATTCACAGTTGAAATGATATTATAAGGAAAAAATGGCCTCAAACTCCACTTTTGAGGCTAAAGTGTTAATGTCCAAAGGGAAACGTGCAGCAGCCGCTTATATTCATGCCGATTGCTCTCAACGGACTAATCCCAAACATTTAAATGAAGTCCTCGATAATTTACTTAATCCCGCCAAGGCTATCGACGAGTGGGAAACAATCGACTGGTGCAAATGGCTGATGGCCGGAGGACGGACACCCGACGAGTTCGCCAACATAGGTACGTAGCGAACGTCTTACGCCTCTTGTAATTTGCGCTTGCAGTGCGAACGTACGACAATGCGACAACATGCGGACTGGTTTGGACACCGAATTTTGTCGCGTACCGTTGCCGTACGTGCGGAATTTCGCCCTGCATGTCGCTCTGTACGGAATGCTTCAAAAAGGGGAATCACCAGCGGCACGATTTCAACATGTTTCTAAGTCAGGCGGGCGGCGCGTGCGATTGCGGTGACACTTCAGTGATGAAAGAGACTGGGTAATGATATTAAGTCGACTTCGAGCATTTTTACAACTCTTTTGTAGGTTTTGTGACCGTCACGGTCCGGATAAATTGAAAAATAAGTCACCAGCACCCACTGCTCTTATGTGCGTTGCTGAGGCGATGATGCCGCGGGTTATTTTAAGACTGATACAACATCTTCGAGAGAACAGGTATGATATTATTGTTGCTGTGATCACTTTAAATTAGTTAGTAGTCTGTGGGATATTTCATTTGCTCGGGAATTAATTAAGTTTGATGGTAAGGAATTTATAGTTGGTATGAAATTCACGGCATTAATTAAATTGGAGTGAAATTTAATTAAAAAGTTCACAATTTGTGCTCGGGTATTACAAAACTGTAGGGATTATCAAATGTCAGTGCTCAAAGCTCAACATTTACTTTAAAAAGTGCTCAATGAGGTTATTTCAGAATCCAGAGGCTTAAGAACGGTAAATGGGCCCAAAATTATAGTAATGTTCCAAGTTCCAAAGCTAAGATTTAACTTGGTAAAACAAACACTATTTTCATTTCATTTCTGACCTTTATTTTTGAGTGGGCGGGGCTTCAGCCAAGGTTATTCTACCAACCTAACCCACTATACATTTACACATATCCATGCCAAAACCCGGATTTGAACCAGGGACCCTCACAGTCAGGCTTCAACTCAACCTCGAACTCAACTGTGCCACATGGGCCAGTTCCAAAATGAATCACCGATTGTAATTTATAATTTTGATTAAATAAACCAAAAATTGCTAAAACGGGTCCATTTAGATAGCTCGAGGGAAGATTAATAGAAGGTTTCCCTCAGTTTTGATTGTGAATTGCCATCGAGTGAAGTCTCATTTTAAATAGTACAAGATCCCACATGAGGTCAACCTTCACTCATCTGTTTACCGAGTAAAATACTTTTTTTTAATCAATCTTAATATGTAAACGAACACATTGCAAATGGGTTACCTAAAATAATTAAGTTAAGACTAGTCTTAATTAATGTAAATAAAATTTCTGTTTGCTTCTATTACATGGAGAGATAATAGTCTGAACTTAATCTTTTTAGGCAACCTATTTGCAATGTGTTTGTGTACCGGGTGACCTAATAAGACTGTCCGTCGATCATATCTCAGGAACCGTTCGTCGTGTGACTTAGGGGTAAAAAAAATTATTGGGTAAATCGGTTATGAAGAATCGCTGGAAAATTTTTTCAAGTTCTAAAATGACCACCAGAGGGCGTAACTGCCATCTTAAATTTTAAAATTGCATTTTCTTTAAATTTCGCATAATAAACTAAACATTCTTTTTCACATTTTTAAAGAGAACCAGTTTATCTATCATTTTCGTAAAAACAGAAACTGAGTTATTTCAAAAACAAAGATGGTGTGGGGCGTTCAATTGTTTTTTGCAATAACCTGCTTTAACTTCTTAACCGTTTGACCAATTGTAACAAATTTGGTATCGTTGAAAAGAGCATTCCTTGGGCAACAAGAATCAATGTAGTTTAGTTCAATCCTTCTCCGCCAGGGGGCTAGTTTTGACACTATGATCCAAAATCCTAAAAAATCAAATGGAATGATATAGCCAAATAACACCCAAAGAGGTCAGTGAAAACGGTTTTTCAAAATATCGTTCCTAACCTCAAATATTGGGAAAATGAGATTAATTAATTAATAAAAAAGCTTACATTGTATCTTATTTGACGTATTTCCGGTGATTGTCGATGGCGCGAAAGATTGTTTGGAAAAGGACCCTACACGTTTAGGTAGGCCTTGGAAAATTAAACAAATGAAACACAATGCATTATAAAATAATAACAGCCGTAATTCGTAAATTATTCTGCTGTTTACATTCAGAAAGTGCAGTTTTTGAATTTGTAATCTTTTCTAAAATGCCGATTTCTAACCAAGAAGCATTTAATATGCTGGCGGCGATGGTTCGTGGTCGATTCGGATAACGTAAATAGAAGATATGGCCGCGGAACAGTCTTATTGGATCACCCGGTACATATCAAAATTGATGACCAGATTGTTTTATTTTTCATGGTACCCTAATGAAAGGACACCCAAAAAGAATTAATTTCTACCAACTAACGCCGTCCTTCTCGAGATCTGTATAATTCTTCATATCTTCAAAATGGTGTGTCGCTGGAAAATAATCAAAAATGACGATTTGAACATTTAAAGGTTTTTTAACCATTGATATCATAGTGCAGGTGTGATTTTACTTGAGTATTCTTGAGAGCAACGTCTGGAAGGCTTTTTTGTCACAGAATTAGCAAAAAAATTTAGAATTGCGTATAAAGGGTGTTTTTTAAAGGATTACAAGGGGATAACTCGAAACCGGTTTTAAATATTTTTATGAATTTTTGGTGGCTTAATAATGATACAGGAGACAAATCTCTATATATAAAAATGAACACCTGTTTCTTCTGGTCACGCAATAACTTTAGAACGACTTTACCGATTTCATTCATCTTTTTTTTTAAGTTTTCTAATACTGTGTAGAAGGTTCTTACGACAAGAGAAACTAAGAAAATCGCGCAGAAAATTGGAAAATTGTAGAAAACTTAACGACTATTTAAACATCGCGCGTTTGACGGTGCGGTAGCAATTGTTTTAACAGCTACATCGATCGGAATATATCCGTCAAAAAATTAATTTGTATGCTGTCAATTCGATCGGAAAGTTTATCCAGATTTCAGTGAGTTTTTTGAGAAATGTCGATGTTATTTCACCGCAATCACGCCTTTTATATTAAGAGTTTGATATACCTAATATCCATTTTTGGTAACTGTTGATAGACTAAACACGTGGTATACACTAGGGAGTTAATTTCTATTTTCAGTTGAATTTTAGTTTTTTTGAGATGCTACTAATTAGACGTACCAACATGGTACCAACTTAGGTCGCAGAATTCGTAATCCTACAAGTCAAACATACCGGGTGGTGCACGGTAAGTAGGAACATAGGGATTTAACATGGAAAATTAGTTTTATGCAATATCCTGCCCTCCTTTACATTTTACAGAATAAACTGTAGTTTAAAGTTGTTCGGAATTAAAAGGTGCATACAAAACTGTTTTTACATGTTTTAATAAGCTTTTGGTATACCCAGAAATTTAAAAATAAATTTCAACATTTCTATTATTAGTAGCAATAGCCATAACTTTTGTTGTTTTATGAATTGCTATACTAATAACAGAAATGTTGAAATTTATTTTTAAATTTTTGGGTATACCAAAAGCTTAATAAAACATGTAAAAACAGTTTTGTATGCACCTTTTAATTCTGAACAACTTTTAAACTCTACAGTTTTTTCTGTAAAATGTACAGGAGGGCAGGATATTGCATAAAACTAATTTCCCATGTTAAATCTCTATGTTCCTACTTACCGTGCACCACCCGGTATATACGAGTAAGTCAAACTGACGAGCAGAAATGTCCCCTTTAATCCCTATCGAGCTGCATTTAATTACCACGTAACAATCGATTACAGTTTACAGTAAATCGTTGCTATTAGACCAATGAACTTTGTGTGTCCACATTGCAAGGCTTTTAAGTTAAAAACTGAAGCCCCGGGATTATGTTGCGCCAGTGGCCATGCGAAATTGACGCCATTGGTACTGCCACCAGAGCCACTACATAGAAGTGAGTGCGTTTATTTTTTATTATTCTGGGGAGAGATGGGGAGATTTTGGGGAAAGTGTGTCAAAATCTCTTTTCCGGCAAAACAGTTGAACTGATTGGAACCAAATTTGGTACACATATTCTCAGACATAAAAGGGCAGAATCGCGCATGCGCAGGTGGTACCTGCGCTAGGCACAGTAAATTTCTTGAAATAATTTTTTGTTATTATTTATTCCAGTTCAAATTGATTAGGTATGCATAGCTAGGAAAGACGACAACGTCCGTTGGGTCAGCTAGTTTTAACATATTTTTAAAATTTTTTCATTTCTCTATTTTTAGGGGTGGGGGTAACTTTGACGTTTTAAATGTAGAGATGCTCTTTTGTTTTTAAAATTCGAACGTCTCCGTTTTAAAATAACCGTAAATTTAAATAAATACGCGTTCGGTAAAGTTCGCCGTGACGTCATTAAAGACGAATCGGTCACGTGGCCTTTTTCAGCATTATTTTTTGTCTGAAATATTTCTTTTACTTTTCAGCCAGGGCTCCTCGCCCGACGCTTACAAAGGAGCAATACAGGACGCAGACGCGTTCATAACTATGCTGTTGGATTTTAACAACATGGGCGGTTTGATGCGGCGAGTCATGACCGGCGCGCTGACTAACCCCCAGATGTACAGGGTTCTAAACGAGCTACCTCAAAACTCGAAGTCGGAGTACGCGCGATACATGATGGAGTCGAAGACGATCTACGAGAACGCCTTAAAGTCACTTCCGAATCCGGAACCGATGGAGGAATATCGCGACTGTCCCTCGCTCCAGGAGCATCTCACTCATCGAACCTTCCTGGAGGAGCTGGTGTTCTGGACGGTCAAGTTCGAATTTCCCCAAAAAGTCGTTTGCCTATTACTGAATATGCTCCCAGATCCCGATTACAAGGTAAAGCCGACCTAGTTAAGCGACTGTGCTAAATTTGTTACGTTACAGGAAGCGTTAACCAAAGCTTTTGTGTTGCACTACAGTCGAATATCGTTGATGCTCGAACGGTCGAGTGACCCCGACACGCTCAGCAATCGTGTGGTGCACGTCAGCGTTCAGCTGTTCTCTAACGAAAGTCTCGCATTACGTATGACCGAACAACTCAATTTGTTACATGTTATGGTTGTCAGCTTGAAGTATATGATGGGCAAAATTCTTATACAGAACACCCTTCACGGTGAGTACCTTGGGTGTGTTATTCTTTTGTGGACTGCAGGATTCGCAAATGGTCTCTTTTTTAGACATTCGTCTCTTTTTTCAATGCTGGTCTCTAAAAGTCTCTAAATTTTGCATGTTAAAAAAGTATAATTCATAATTGATAAACCGCAGAAATTTTATTGTACATTTTTAGCGCATTTTTTAAGAATAAAAAAAAATCGATCGGGTATATTCCCTTATTCCTCGAGAACGGATTGTTGGAAGAGGGTATTCTCAAAGGGCGATTGGGACGTCTGCAAGAAATATAACCATTGGTGATGTCAAAAAAAAGCTATTTGGGTTTAAAAATGCGTTTTATCCGCACAACAGTTGTGCACAATTTATATTTGTTTAGATATATTGCAGTTTACGTATCTCATCTATTACAAAATAAATATTTTTTGCTTAATTTTGTATGGAAATTGGTTCTCGAAGGTCTCTAAATGGTCTCTATTTTTAAAAATGTAATTAGAGACCAAGTCTCTATTTTTTTGCTAAAATCAGTTGCGAACCCTGGGACTGTTTAGTCTTTCATTTTAGCAAACAATAGAATGTTTATTTATACTTATTAGTAGGAGGTAATAATTGCACTTCTGCTTCTTTAGCAATATTTGTAATGTTCATTTCTGCACAATCGATTTTTTACATTTTTAAATTGCTAATTATCAGAGTACAAAAGACAGTTTTTACAGATCCTGATAAGAATTTTCATTACGTCGTCGACTGCGGAAGACCAGTAATGAAAGAGCACTGTTATTGGCCGCTGGTGTCCGATTTGAACAATGTGTTGTCTCACCGTCCCGTCGCGCTCAAATTTATGGCAGACGACTCGCTATTGGAAATGTGGTTTACGTTTCTCTCAATGTTTCAAGGTACCGCAATTTTTCCGAAAACCGGTTTCCATTTTGTTTTTTTGACAGGCATGAATGTTAATCAACGAGAACTCAGTCAGCATGTCGAATTTGAGCCGAACACTTACTACGCTGCGTTCAGTGCCGAGCTCGAAGCGAGCGCGTATCCGATGTGGGCGCTTGTTTCTCATTTGGCTGATGAATCGACGGTTTCGTTGACACGTCGTGCTCTCTCCGCTTGTTTATCATCGCTCTTGGAATGGTTGGACGCCATAAATTTTACAAGTCCAAACGTGGTATGCTAAATTTACAATTGGTACATCAGTGTCTTACACTTGGATTTTTAGAATGATAGTGTACAAGTGTCATTTCATCTTCCGCTGCATCGTTATTTAGCTGTCTTCTTATGCCAGGCTGTTGCGAAACAAGGATTAACGTTGAACGAAATTCTACCCCAGGCGGACACACTACATTTACTAATGATGCATCCTTTGAGAGTGCAGGTGAGTACTTTCACACATATGCATGGGATATGTATACTGAACTTAGCAAGAGTTGATCTGGGGTGTAGACCACATTTTTTTTTTGAACTGAGTTTTTAATCCCCCTCTGATTTATGTTGACAATAATAAAGGGTTGGATTACAAGTAAATACTGATCTGATTAGAGACGTAATTTTGTAAGAGTGGGCTATGCGCAGATAAATGTAATAATACAATATGGGGATGTGTCATCTCTTGCCTTCTTAGCTGCCGGTTCCTGTGTATAATATTAATCTGAAGTGCAGTAATAGATGCAATTACATTTCATGTAGTCGAAATAATAATTGGCATGTGCTCAATTACAACTACATAAATAAATAGTTATTTATTATACAAGACGATAAAGATGTTCACGAGATGGTTAGTTTCCCTTTATCGTCGTGTAATACAAAACTATTTTATAGCAGAATTTAATTTAGAGAAACAGAATTGTCATATGTTCTGGAAGTCAGTTTATATCCTGCTTTAGAAATAAGAATGACAGATGTCATTAGAATGCACACTCATCTGTTTCACTTTATCTACCCTTACAGTATAAAGTGATCACTTTATCTTTCCTTACGGTTAAAGAACAGCTTAGCCTACTCATTCAATCCTATTAAAATATCGATTTAACGTATGCTATAAAATAAATACATTTTACAGTTTCTTAAATTACCTACTACAAGGCATACCCCGAGAGTAAGTTTAGTTTCGTTTTAAGCGCTACTGTCGCCGATCGAGGCATGTGCGTCCTTGCTTTGTTGAGGCTACAAACTTGCGTCATTACGGTTTTCCAGTAAATTTCGGTCTACTTTACGTTTACTATTTATCTAAACGTCCATTTTAGTCGGAACAAACTGGAATTCCCCTTTCGTTCGCTTATACCTTCGATACAAACAAATGAAAACTTTTCGCCTTTCGCCGGCATCGGAAAAATATGAAACTGTTTCTGCAACTCATTAAAATGTCAATCCTTAATTATTCTTAGGTCCCACAAGCTAGCAGAGCCATTTTAGAAAAATGAAGGACGAAATACATCAGAATTATAGGCTGATTATATGCCCTTTTTGGACACTTGAACAAACTTTCAGGCAACATCCTTTAAAGAAAAAAACTATGACTCTGCTGGCTAAAGAAGAAACTAGCTGATCACTTGTATGTTGTAATTAATATCGATCCATTAACAGTGATTGTATAAAGACAGTGTGGTCATATGCTCTATATCCGCCATGTTTTTCCCATATTCTTCATTGAGCTGATCAGTTTAATTGAATTGGTAGATTTTGGCATTTTTCTATGGTTACAATATTAGGTATTGCCACAACTGTTTGTGACTTGATCACCTTGGATTCCAAGTTAATTTCCGCCAACCCGATTTATTTGGTTAAAATATGGCCGATATCCCACCTACCAATAAAAAAACAACACCAAAGTATGACCAAACTGCCTCTATACAGTAGGTATACAGTCACTGTAGATCCATTATAAGTCACTAAATATAGAAAGTACCGCAATCCATTGGGCCCGTGTGTTAGAGAGAGAACGCATGTTTTTTGCCCAAAAATTGCGGAAGTTACCAGATTCCAGTAACTTTAATGTTAGGGATTGTTCCACCTGTTTGGAGACATCTGTCAAGTAGGTATTTGAAATTTGAATTTTCTTTTAGTAATAAATCAAATATATAGCAAGTTGTTGTGTTTCAGGTTTTAAAAAAAGTAATAGTAAAAGTGTCTTAGTTGTGTATGCATCTTCTCTTATATTATAGGAGAAGAAAAGTTGAAACGAAATTCCTGAATTGGAAAGAAGTACAAAAAAAAATTAAAATTATTCGTCTCATTATATTAACCTCGCGATCGTTTATAATTTTGTATTGCTGCCTGCCTGTGCGTCTGTCTGTCCGTCTGTCTGTCAGTGTGTACGATAGCTTTGTGTAGAAACGTCCGATCGCTTTAAAAATTGATATACACATGTTCTTCATGATATAACAAAGTTCGCAATTGTTTTTCGGCTACGTAGACCAACGGGCCAAAAAGTTACAGACCAAAAACTGCGCAAACCTCCAAAAACGGTTTCTAGCTCTTGTTACAAAGAACATATGAATGTCCGTTTTTCTGTGTTAGTAGATATTCCTTAAACTTTAGGCAACTATGCAGATGCAAACAAATACTGCGCATGCGCATAACAACTTTTGTATTTGCCCAATCCTAATTTTTTATTTGTTAATTTATTTAAATGAAATTCTGTATCTAGGCACTTCGAATAAAAGTGAAACTAATGCCAAATCAAAAAATTTGTTTTGCGCATGCGCAGTCGGTTTTCTTTTATTTGTTAAGGTATTTAAATGAAATGTATTCAGGCACCTCAAATAAAAGTAAAGCTAATTCCATTTCAAAAAATTTGTGTTACAAGCTATCCAGATCAGGTGGGACAGAATCAACCCCTTAGGGTGTATTGTAAAAATGATGTATGTGTGAAGATCTGAGGATCGTTTGGTATTCAGTTGTATCGGATTTTTGAAATATAAGTTAGAGTTTAAATAAATATATTAATTGGGCGAAAGCCCGTTGAGGGCCCAGAACAAGAGAGGGACAATAAATAGACAATAAATAAATAATTTTTATTTATCTACTACATCTCCGAAAGGGGCAAAATCAAGCTGATCTGGATGATAGTTTTTTTCTTTAAAGGATGTCGCCTGAAAGTTTGTTCAAGTGTCCAAAAAGGGCCTATAATCAGCCTATAATTCTGATGTAATTCGTCCTTCATTTTTCTAAAATGGCTCTGCTGGCTTGTGGGACCTATTATTCTTACTTAATTGAACTCATCCCAACTCCAATTTTCGTTAATCCAATTAACATGTTTTTAATTGGTATTTAAGTGCAAACAGGTAGTCTTACGGTCGCTCAAAAATTTCGAATTCAATATCATTATGTTCGTCGACCCGGATATTTGTCTCCAGCTCGGCGAAAATGTCACTAACAAGTGTACTGTCTTCATTGATATCACTTTGATACAGTGGAGCATTAGGGTACGCTTGTCCATTACACTGGGAGAGCTAAAGAAGGTTGCAGCCCCGATTTTCTGCATTCACATGGTGAACCACAACTATTCTTACAGTTGCAAAACATTGTGCTAAGTAATTTATCTGGAGCTGGTGGTTATATTGTCGTTATCTGTTCCAGGATTTAATTTTGCAGTACCCAACCCCATTTCTGAACTTTTTTATATGGCATATCATTTACCATTATGCGGTAATCGCGGTACGCTCTCCGCCTTCTTTCTCAAAACCGGTTAAGTATATAAAAAATGTTTGGGTCAAAAGTTGTAAAGAATTCTATTCTTTATAATTTTTGTAGTAAATCCAATGACATTAAAACCATTAGTCCATTGAAAAGTTACATTTGGGGTTGCGTTTGTCAGAGGACACAATTTTTTAGATATCAAGGGGGGGTTAGTCTAAAGTTAAATCCGAGTTTGTGGGGTTGTAGCCCTTGTCCCGCGGCCGCCATCTTGAAAAAAGAGGTGCACATGGTTTTTATGGTTTATCTGACAAACTATTGGTCTCACAAAAAATTGATTCAGAAATTTTTTAATAAAAATAAAATTTTCAACTTTGGTTCAGTAACTTTTAGTCGTAGAACGAAAAATAACAAAGTTATAAACGAAAATTGATGAACATTTTGTAAACAATTTTCAATTGGTCCTTATAACTTTTTTCCTTTCTTCAGATCATTGGGCTGCAACCCCACAAACTTGGATTTAACTTTAGACTAACCCCTCCTTGACATCTAAAAAATAAAATTGCGTCCTCTGACAAACGCACGCTAAGCCCAAAAAAATGTAACATGGACAATGGACTACATAGGAAAGGAGATTTTTCGCAGAAAACCGGTTTTTGAGACCTTTGACCTTCAATATCTTAAGACGCAGACATGAGATTTTGTAAGACTTTTGAGACAACCTTCAGAATGCCAAAAATAAAGGTTTATTCAAGTTTATAGGATATTATTATCAATTCCGACGTTGACCCTATTTTTTGTCTTAAGTGACTGGACTATGCAGACGTAGATGTTAATGATTTATCGTTTGTAGATTGTACCAACGCGCAATAAATATAAATGTCTTAAGTACATAAATAACAAGTGTATAACACTTCCTTGTGATAGTTAGGAGTTACAAAGGTAATTAATGTTTATCTGAGTGTTAGGAAAAGAAATGAAACAGGGAAGTTACATAATTCCTTTTTAACGTAGGATTTTTAGTGATTTTCTCGGATTGCTAATTTGATTACGAATTAAAAGTATTAGCATAGTGTAAAGACACTAAGGTATTGGCAAACGCAATTCTGCTAATATCATTAAAATGGTAGCCCCTAATGTCAATTTGTTTGTAAAGATGAACAGCACTTTTCAGGAGCTTTTATTTGATCCGTCACATAATATATGGCGTTATTTAAGGTTATTTTATTTTAAGTTGGTTGTGGTGAGGATAATGTCTGCAGCGCAAAACAAATGAAAAACGCCATCAAGTTTGTTCCGCTATGTGGCCTTGGCTGAAACCCCGTCCACTCCAAAATACAGGTCAAAAATAAAATAAATACTCAAAATATCGACAAAAGTGCACTTTTTCTAATGGAACATTCCATTATATTGCATTTTTCTTAATTGTTTTTCTAGTGTTACCATTGTAATCAACGTTAAAAACATACACTATAGTCCGTATCACCCTGACTTTACAGTACAGACTCTTATGATGCCCAATGTCATTAGAATATGATTAGTAGAAAATGCCCTCCCCTCCCTTCCCTCTGGCAAAGGGGTTTTGTTAATACTTGGGTTAGGAACTATATTTCGAAAGTGTAGAATTCCCATGTAAGTAAGTCACAGGTAATGGTGGTATAATTTTTTAAGCCGGTAATGTAGAAACATCGATCGTGTGGCGTCCTTGAATTGATAAGATGGCGGTGGAACTTCCCCAATGAATTTTTCTTGCGCAATATTGAGAAAATCCAAAATTCGGCGGTTTCCACTCAGTCTTCATATACCTTCAAAACGTGGTATTGGAAAGGGGTGCTGCAAAGTAAAAGATATTGATGAGATGTGCGTCAAACTTTTGTTGAAATGTTGGAGGATGCGTTTTCCTTTCTCTTCTTCCTTTTTTAGCACAGTTCATGTTACCTTGTCCTGCTGTTCCGGTCTCAAGTGATCTTAGTTCGTGACACTGGTTGGTCCATGCTGCCAGTTAATGAGTCATTTCCACTTGCTAGATTGTTATATTGTTACCTTAGTCTTCTTCTGGGGATGCGCTTTGTAAAGTTTTTAAATTTATCTATAATTTTATTGAGTACTAAAAAAAATCACAGAAATGATTCTAAATTTACAGACTAGGCGGTTAGCTTTTGTAACCCTTAAGTTAGCGACTTAAATTGTTCGTTACATAATAAATACATATCAAATATATAATAAATTATTTATTTATTTATTTCCAATTCGTCCTTTGGAAAGATGGGATGTAGGTGCTGGCTGTAATCGTACGTTACGATTTTGGGCGCGATAAAACCGCCCGAATTTTTCGATCCCTTGTGGTAGAGGCCGGCGCCCGCCAGAGGCACGGCCATTTTCGGAACGACGGGCTGCGCGTCGAGGAATGGCACAGTCGTCTGAGCGGCGTCGCGGTTCATGTCGGTGTGAGTGAAGTCGATGTACTGATCGGTTTTGGAGTCGAGCCTCGATGCTCTCGGTATACGGGTCGGAATGTCCGGGTCTGACAGGTAGACCTGTGTCCTATTAACATGGGTGTCGGTTATGAAATCAAGCGGATGATAGTATACCTTGGGTTGTGCGTCGATGCATCAGTGTTAGAGTTGTCCTTCCATATGCTGCGATAGGCCGGTTCCAACAACTGTCCTTTCTCAAAATCGAAGGGGGTTATGTAAATTTCGAAGTTTAAGTGCGTCCCAATCTTCTTGAAGCGGACACCTGAGGGTACGAGAAAATTAATATTTGAAAAACACTTAGTTTTTTTACCTGTCATCACATGCTGATCATCCGCTATTAAATCATCGAGGTCGATGCTGCGTTGTTCCCAGGTGAGTGTGTGATAATCCTGCCCGTTGTAAATGTAGCGATCTGTAATTTTGTAATCTTCGACCGGCACCCAGCGGATCGTACTTGAATCGATGCCCCCGTGAGGTAAAAGCTTGCCTTCTTGAATTTGTAAGTGAATGATGCGGTTTTTCTTGGTGAAACGTAGACCGGTCACTACCCGGTTGTTTGCAATGTCGGCGACGGCGGATCTCATGTTGAAATAGCGATCTGAGTAGACTCCCTGTTCGTCACATAGGCAAAAGCAGTAGGAGCAATGCCAGAACAACCACCTCCACCAACTATCGACCTTGACCGTGCCCTTTTGGCAACCTTGTTTTCGACCAAGTACTCTGCCGTTTTCGTACTCGATGTACTCGTATCTTCGATTGGTGACGCTATCCTACAATAGTATATTGAAATACAAGTGTTACAATGCGACCTATTGTAATACGACTATTTTGTGGCACGAGTGGCGTAGCGAAGCGGAGGCACGAGTGTCCACAAGATAGGAGCATTGTAACACGTATTTTTCATACTATTTTTTCTATTTCGGGGCTTTAGTTTAATTAAAAAGTAATTATGAAAAACTACAGGAAACTTTAGAATTAATATGTCTTTAGTTGGCAACACCAACTACGTTGACAAATTTTAAGTTGGCAGCGCAGATAAACACAAGACTGACATTTGGAAACTTTAAATTCCGCGAATGTGTAATTTTTTATTCGTAGATAAATTTATTTATGGTGGATGTGTAAACTGCCGATTTGTAATGTATTAAGTTCTTCGTGTACCAAAAATCAAGGAAAACACATAAATTTTACGTAATTTGATTTCACATCTTATCATTGACGTCTTGGCGAACTGCCAACTTAGAGATGAAAAGTTACCAAAAACAATGTTACAATGGAACTCATTGAAACACTGTTTTTGCCGAAAACAGTTGCACAAAATTCTCATTGTAACACCGAAATAGAATTGTTATTAATGAAATTAATCAAATACAAGAGCCACTGACCGCTGGACACACCCACATGTCCGAATCGATGTATCTGCAGTTGATGATTTTTCCATTGCATCTCCGTTGCTGTCTACAGTACAAGTTCTTGTAACAGCTGTGGCTCTTTGTATACGTGTACTCAGCGCAGGTTTCGCTGCATGTGCCCTTCGGGTTTAGGTCGACCTCGTTCTGCACGTACCCTTGCAAGAGTTGCGTGACCTCAATGTACGTGTCGCCTACAATTGACTTTACCAACCGATTTAGTGACGGTGCCGACCTACCTGGAATATGTTTGGGCGGATCACACTTCCAGAATTCCCTAGAGCTCCTCTCCATCGCCTTTTTGACGGCCTGGACCGATTGCACGGTACGTTCCTCGTATCGATCTCTCATCAGCTGAGCTTCCTTGGTGTAGTTGCCTGTTGATCAATTACAAATAAGCAATAATAGCTAGGTGCCGTTTCTGTTACCTTGATTGTATAATTTGAGCAGCATGTAAGAGAATTGCATCATCATGTACCCCTTCAACTCAGTCAGCTCGATGGTGTTGTAAAGATTGTACAACATCTGCTGGGCCGACTGATTCGTGCTGCACAGCATGTCACCTTGGGTCTCCTGCAACAGTTCAATACTTGACGGTTCAAGGAATCATGCATGCGATCTACCTTAAGAGCCTCATCGTACAAGCGCTCGCTGGTTATAAAGTCGGTAATCGACGTTTGCGCTTGCATTACGGACGATTTGCCCGTTTGCAAGAGAGTGTGCGCCAAGTCAAGCCAGGCCTGCTTGGGCGAGGGAACTCTACCTGGAGTAGTTTGTAAAATTTGAAAGCGGCGGAAGCTCTCGTACAGCGCGTAGACGCCACGCAGTTCCGCGTAAGTTTTGGCCCAAACGTAGACATTTTCGATTGTCTCTAATCCGTACGTTAGATCGTGGGGGAACTCCTTGAAATGGCGCGTTTAGTATACTCAATTGATGTGCGCGCCGATCGCACCTTTTGTAATACATCACCGAATTGTTGAAATTTGCGTATCAGCCCGACTTCGGGGTTTTCACCTGTCGAGGGCTTGACGAGATTGTCATCGGAGTCGTCGAAGACCATGTCCCACAGCATCTCTTCGGATTGTAAGAACTCGAGCCGTAACCCATCAATTCTGCTGATTTTGGGGGTGCGAAGGAAACCCTGTGCCCCACACGCGAGCGCAAGGAGGAAGAGAACCGTCGTATGCATTGGTAATTGCCTCAGTTATGGGAGCAGAAATTACATGGCATTTCTGTAGAGAAAAAGATCAAGGTTTCTATTCACAACACCTTGTGGGAAAAAATCAATTATACAGGGTGGCGTATTTGGACGTCGCTTTCTCCGCACGCAATATTTGTTACTCCACTTTCAATTTTATTGCAATTGAGGAAAATAATGACGTCCTTCATACGTAATACGTTTTATAAATACGCGCTTGAAGATTGCAAAAACAAACATTGGCCGATAAGGATATTTTAAACTTTGTTGAATGTGTAAAAAATAGTCACTTACGACGCCAAATTAGCGATATCCTAATTAGAATTTTAGGGGAACGTTGAAAGAATGTTATTTCTAATTTCCCGTATACCAATCCCGCGCACTTAATTTTTACACAACTTACGTCCTACAATACTTCTTTTTAATTACACAGTGAAAACAAACGAAACGAACTGACAAGCAGCGACAATGAAGACAGGAACCGAGGCATACGAAATTGGTATGCACTTGCGCACACGCTGTGTTTAATTAATTAAAAAAAGTAGGGGATAGTGGGAAAGCACGGCAGACGACAAAGACGGCGACATGCCTTTGTGCTGTGACGTTATTCAGGTTTTCGCCCGCATTCACCGTTAATTAATTACCTGGAATTTTATAGTACGAGGGCCTGCCGATAAATCTCGCGCGTTTTGAAAACGGAAGGCGTCGCGTCGTCCTTGTCTCAAAGGTCGCGCGTGATTCTACTTTCTGCGTTATAAAGCGGCGTAATGACGTTCGCATTAAAGAATAAAAAAACGCGTACAAACAATTGCTTCATATGCAACATTTCGTAACTAGTCTGGAATAATTGGCGCTTTACGTAGCTGAGAAAAAAAGATCTCGGTCAAGCCGTAAAGGAGAATTCCTATCTTTCGCAAGAATAACTGCAATTGTTATAAATAAGATTAAAAAATTACTGTGGAATTGTACAGGTAGTATATTGGACCCTGCATTGTTTCACTTTTTCGACAAATAATGTACAATTGGATAGGACAAACTACGTACTTAATGCAAATTTCAAGCTCGTGACCCTTTCTTTGGCGTAGCAAGCGGTTGCGATACATCAAAATGCGCGTAATCGCATAATGGTAATTCAAGCTCGTGCACCAGGTCAAAATTTCTGAATCGAACCGCAAAATTTATCCAAAATCTTTATACAGCAATTGTTTTTGTCAGTCCATGTAACTATTTTTCGCGATCATTTGGGCTGTTACAGGGTGTAACTGGTGAGTATGTAAAAAATTGGATCACGGAGACGCCAAAAACGTTGCGTGGAATTTTGTTTAATTTTTATCCAAGTTTGGGTCAGGGTTGGCAAAGCGACTTAATTCCAAATTTTTCCATTGGAAACAAATTGCATTCTCCACTCCGAATTCAAATATCAGACAATTAAACATTGCGCATGCGTTGGGATCGAGAAGTCAAAAAAACGTGTAACGAAATTTTTGTTTTGGAATGATATTTTTAGCGCATTTTTGAAAAAAAATACGCTATTATATTCGTTTTGGCTGGCAGGCCGGCTGTCCGCGTGAGATCTCCACACAATAGCTAGAGAAATCAAATTTTCTATAAAAGCTTTCTGCGTAGGTGTGCAGGCACTAGTCTATTTTGAGTTAGATTACTTGTGAGATCGATAATTGAAGAAAATAATTTCGATATGGGTTTCGGAGGTGCTATACTTTTACCGTTAGATAGCGCTACCAGTATAAAAACTTATTATTTACTTTGTGATTTGTTTTACAAAATGAAGACGTACCCTCAATTGAAATTAAATAAAATTAATTATTTAACGCAGCCAAAATTACTCGTGAGATCGATAATTTTAAACTTCGCTAATAAAATACTGATCTGCATTACCAAAAATGCGCTTTAATCATGCATATGCGGATTTACAACTTGTTTTATTTTTTATTATTAAAAATTAAAAGCTACCCCGCGCAACTACGATGAAAAAGAATAGATTTTTCAACCTGCAAGAGATTTTTTTTTTCGAAAATCGTGAACGGCTTAACTTTTCTCATAAAAAACTGTTCCACCAAATTTTCAGATCCCTGCGGCTTTTTTTTGCAAAAATAAAAATGGAAAACGAAACCCTTTTTCCGCTTTTTCTAGGAATATTTGAGGTTATGTGAAAAAAAAGTTGTTCATTTATTTATTCCCTACAACTTTTACTTCGAACATTTTCGCCTAAAATTGACAGTTTTGCCACCAATTGCAAAATATCCCTTTCAACCCCCGGAATTTCGCCCACTGAAAAATTCAACTGTTTTGATTATTGTTGTCCGATTTCAAATTGGGAACTAATTTTTTTGACACAAAATATATAGCGTGGACTAAAAGTTATGTTATTAACGTGTGAGAAATGAGTGGACCAAAAAGATTTGATTTCGAAATATTTCGAAATATTTTGAGAAGCAATCAACAAAATTCAACCAATAAAAATGCAGTATGCACGGAAAGTCTTTGCTCCTTATAGAAACCTTTTATTTCCTTAAAATTTTCTCAGACTTTCTTGTCCATTTCCTATATATTTCCCAGCTATTTCTTCGAAATTTCCTATATGAGAGACAAGAATTTCCCTCGTGATCAACCCCTCGATTATTGCTAGCAATTAGAATAAGATAGTTGCACTAAATTTATATTTAAAAGAAGCTTGCACTAGCGTACAGAAGAGAGGGGTGTTTAGCAAGGCTAAAAAATGTGTAGTACTCTAATTTAATTAAAATTTTAATTAATAAATGCAAGGAAATACACTATTTTAAAGTGCGAACGAAAGCGGCATATCATTGGTTGTAACGTCACCATATTTGTTTATATTATCGCGTGTTTCCAAAGACTTTATTTTTCTATCGATTTTGACGGCGATTGATGTATAGAATAGATAATATTTCGAGTTAAATTTTCTCCATTGAATGTACCTGCCCGAGAAGTGTCCAGAAAAATTATAATGAAAAAATGCATTTTCGCTTTCGAGATTTTTAAGGCTAAAAGCTCTTCTTTTCTGGACACTGGACAGTTAAAAAAATGCAAATTACGCTTTTTTAGTTACTGGAGCGACATTAATGAATAAAAATTAAAAGAATGCCCCTCAAGAAAGCCCCTTTTGTTTTCTGGCCAATATATATATTTTATCGTTGAAAAATAATTCCAGATTTGTTGTACTTTCTGGATTTCGAAATTTTTATTAGATCCATTATGATCCAAAATAAGTACTTTAAATATATGGAATACTTGATTTTAATAAATTGCGCTCTCTCTCTCTTCTCTTCTCTCTCTCTCTCTCTCTCTCTCTCTTTCTTTTTCAATGAGTAGTACTCATTGAGTACCCATAAAGCCCGAAAATATCCGACTTTTTGAAACAACACGCTGTATCGGGTCATCGGTGATAGGAGATTTACAATGGTTCGTGGGTCTGTTTATTTATTCTATTATTTATTTTAATTATATCCTTACTTGTTCTGGGCCCTCAACAGGCTTCGGCCATCTTGTCTGTCTTCGTTTCTTATGCGTTAGTGTTCTAAACGTTCATCGATTCGGTACTTTTTGGGGAATGGTTGGATTTGGGTGGGACGTTATTGCCGTCGAAGTTCTGAGTTAGACAAACTCCGAAAAATTCCCACGGAGAACGGGAACTGGGAAAACAGGTTTTTTTCATAGTGAAAAAGATTTGACATTTGACGTAAGTTTTTGGAAGACGTTAACGGACGGGGAAAAACGGGATTTTCTCCAAGTTCGGGGGCAGGTATGTATACACGACAATTACCCGGCGCGAAAAATCACGACCCCCGAGTAAACTCATATTGTTATAACTGCCCCACCTTCTGCGCCACGAGCCAATTAGGTCTCTGTACACTCTAATTGAATTCTGTGGATAAGCCCGCCTGTACATTTTATTGTTGCCGGTACCAGAAGTAGTAGCCACGTGTTACTCACATCTTTCAATATTTAAAAATGTGCACAGTTTGTTTGCCAACCATTCATTACTATGTTCCTGTTTCCTGATTATCAGACTCTTAGGTGCACCCGCTTTTTTTCAACATCGCGCCACGATTACCATTTGTCGACCATATTGGCAGATTTCATTTAAAAAGTGGAAAGTTCAAAGGCATTTTTTGACCAAAAATTTGTTCGCTGAATATTATTTTGGCAAAATATATTAGGGAACGGCAATGTTTTTTTCCAAGGATCATTGGGCCTTAAGAAATTAGCGTTTAATTTTAAAGCGCGGGTTTAGACGTCTAGCGATCTTTGGGCGTAATTTCGTAACGATTTTTCTTGATTTGTCCAATTTATCGTTCAATTAAATTCGAAAAGAGTGCGTTACTGTTACATGTAACGATTTCTTTTTCCAATTTCTCATTTGTTTCGATACGTTTTTAATAACAGTTTTTATTTTTTTTTTTTTACTTTTTTTTTTTTTAAAAAACTTTGTTTTCTTTGGTTTTTTTTTTTCTGTTTTCCCTATATAAATTTCCTCGCTTTATTTGCTTTACATTGCTTGCTTACAATAGTTCTTAATTCTCGATTTATGATTTCTGACTAGCCATGTGTCCGCTAAATATTTTTTTTGTTGGGTGGCCAAACATGATTCGCCACTCGCAAATTGTAAAACTGTGTGCGTTTAGACAGTCCAGTGCCAAATGGATACAAAAAATGGCTTCACGTCGGCGAACATTAGTTCACAAAATCGTAGCGATAAATCGCTTTATTGTTTACAGTTCCAATTTAATCCGCCTACGATTTCGCAGAAATTGAAGCTAGGCGGCATTTCAACCATTCCATCTAATTCCAATTCCAATATAAAATCCCTTCAATTTCTGCTGTTCAACACGCAACGATAAAATCGTAACGATTCGACTTTATCGTAGACGTTCTAAATCGCGCTTAACGTATTACTCCAATCTTTCTAGATCAGGCAAGCGCCAATAAGTTCGTTTTGACACTAACTTCAAAAATATAAAGGCCGCGTGGATTTTCCTTCGTGATGAAAAGTCATAATTTCTGTTTTCCCGTACCTATTACGTTCTCCTGGGCCACGGTATTAAATCTAGAAGGATGAAAGCTAAACCATTTGTTTGGGGACTTTTTGAACTTTGTATATTTTCAAAAAATCTTCCGTACGGATCATTGGATTGAACTTTTCTATGTCGTGTGTCCCTGGATGGTTTAGATTCAACAATTTGACTTCGATCGATTATTAGGGTTTTTTAAAAACTTTTCTTCGTTGATGTCGCACTCTGCTTATTTCGGGTACCGATGTGTAACTTTGTACGCTGGGTTTTCCGTTATTTTATATCCACGAGCGTACGAAGTCTCGCGGGAGGGAAATACTTGAAAATATGTTTTTTGATCTCACTTTTGGCCGGCTGGCAGAAATGAGGGCCGTAAAAAAGATAAGGGTTTTTGTTTGTTTAACCTACGTAACCTATCTAATCAAACATTTGACGGGGTTCGGCGAAACCTGGGCGCCTTCCCCAAGCGTGGGTTTATTATTTCTTCTTTCAGTTTTGTTGTGCCTCAAAAATGGGTACTGTCTGGAGGTTTTTTCAGCGAAATTCTTGCCCCAAAATGGAATGCGGGTGAACGATCGGGAAGTCGGTGACCAAGGGAAATGCCGATTGCCCCGACAGATTTTACTTGATGTTTTTCAACTTCAAACGCGCATTACGAGTGAACGGGACGTAGGAAGTGGTCGACAAAGATGTGGTAATCTTCGGCAAATTCTGTTCAAAAACTGATAATAGAAACTGATTCTGCCAAAACATAAAATTGCGCTGTTTGAAATGTTCTTGGATCGTCACGAGGGACGTGGTCATGTTTATTTTTCACAGAAATTGCTGTATGTTGCTGGTACCAGCCTGAGAAACATTAACTCACTTGACATAGCATGTAGAAAAATGCTTGAAAATGTATTCAACAACAGGTATTTTTCTCTTTTGGATTTCTCCCAATATTCAAACGTTCGTTGTTCTTCTTTTATGATGGCTATTACGAAAGGGTTATTTTTATTGATTCTTACACAAAATAATGTGCTGATTCTTAAGGCATTTACTGGTTAAGTTCATTTTGCAGGTGTGGATTTTTTTAGCCAGAGTGAATTTGCTCTTTACCGGGCTTGTTCTTTTGCAGTTTTATTGTTTATCGAGTACCTGACATGAATAAAGTTGGATCGAT